GTCCACTTGCAATTTTGATCGAAAATTGGGAGGGTCAACTTCCAAATCTCCGAGATATATTTGCAAGAGAAGAAATTGAGGATATTCTTATTTATGCTTGGAAGTTTGTACAACGACGGGACATTATCAGATTTGTGGCTGAGACTGGCTACGTAGACGTACCCGACTTTGATAAAGACGGCAAGCCTCTGTCGCATCGCACCACCGCATTGCATCGCGTGGGTAGATACCAGGTGGATTACCGGAATACGAGAATCATGGGTTATCTATTTGATATTTACAAGTTAGACGTGAATTACGTCGACGAAGGTGGATTGACACACTTCCACGTGGCTTGCGTGTCCGGCTGCGACGACGTCGTCAAGAAATTTCTCGAACTCGAACAAGACCCCAATTGCCTCTCAAAAAAGTTTGGCTCGCCGCTGTGTATGGCTATAAACTACGAAGAAGAACGGGTGGTCAAATTGCTGCTGAGCAAAGGGGCTGACCCTAATTTGGCTGTAGCAGACGGTTCAACCCCTCTGCACATAATTTGCGACCAAACCGGCGACAAGGACAACTTCGTGAAGTTGTTATTCGAGCTCAGCAACGAAAAATATCTGCCAATTAAAGTCGACAGCCAGAACAGATTGGGCGAAACACCATTATGGTTGGCATTGAAAAAAGGTAACAAGAAGGTGGCAGAATTTCTGCTGAGAAGTGGGGCTGATCCGAATCTGGCCCCCAGGTTTCAAATGACTCCTCTGCACATTGTAAGTTCATATGGCAATTTAGAAATGATGGAAATATTTTTCAAGACAATCGACGATATCCACAAGACGGTGGAAGTCAACGCCCAGGACAGAAATGGTGACACACCATTGCGCTCAGCTGTAATATATAACAGAACTTATGGAAGTTCTGACCATCAGAGAAGGCTCTCGTTGCTGCTGAGAAGAGGCGCGGATTCGAATTTGGCCAATACAGAAGGATCGACACCTCTGCATGCTATTTGTAAAAAAGACAACCGTGTTATGCTCGAGTACTTCTTGGACATCAACGACGAAATTCAGCAGACGGTGCATATCAACGCCCAGGATAAGAAGGGCAACACACCGCTTCTTTTGGCATTGCAAGCCGGCCACCAGAAGATGGCCGAATATCTGCTGGAAAGAGGCGCTTCTCCGAATTTGGGCGGTGAGAGAGGATTTACAGCTCTGCACACGATTTGTAATGATCGCAGAGATCGCCATGCCTTGGCGAAGACGTTTTTCAAGATCTGCAAGGCAAAACATCAGTTGGTGCAAGTCGATGCCCGAGACGAGTTGGGCCTGACACCGCTTCAATTGGCTGTGGCGAATCTTTCGTTGAAAACTGTCGATGTACTTCTCAAACATGGTGCTGATCTGTCCAGCTTCGTTTTACCAACTATAGATCACTTCTGTGAAGGATTAAATCCAAACTCTGTATCTAATTTCAAATCACATTTAGCGTCCAGCGCCATCGAACTCGTCGAACTTCTGGAGAAGAAAGGATACGAACTGGACCGAAAGGAAGCCTTGACGATCATGGCATTATTCGCCAAGTACGGCCTGTTCCAAAAGTCGGAGGATCTCGAAAAACGTTGGTACGACGACGAGAAGTTCGCGAAACAAGCGAAAAAGATCAAGATAAATTCGAGTCAGTCGCTGTACGATCTGATTCAATTGCCCCCTCAGGAGGCGGCAAAAAAATTCGCTCGTTCGGATCTCTTCAAGTTCGGACACTCGAAAAAACTGCGTAACCTATACCACAGTCAAAGAGAGGCCTGCACTGCGCATCTGTGCGAGACACTGTCCAGGAGATTTTTCTTGAGATCGGCAGGGAATTCTTTATGGGAGCTATTGCACCATCGGTTGCCGATTCTCTGCTGTGACATGATCAACGAGGTACTGATGAACGAAGATTTACGCAATATCTGTTTGGCCGCTGAAGGCCCAAGAGCCCCAACCACCCCCCAAGTGGCCCAACCTCCTCCACGAGCCCTACGATACACAGAATGCCATCATTGTAAAAACTTCCATTAAGACATTATCTCAAGTCTCTAAAGCAACGCCTTCACATTTCATACATTCAACACAATATCCATGTCAAAACTATATTTACTCGAATCATCTCAAATTCTTAAAGATGATCTGTTACAGATTTTCTATATGATCATTTGAATAAATAAATTAAAAAAAAATGAGTTTCGATTTTTCTTTTAACAAGCACCCGATAATTCGAAAGAAATTATATAAAATTGTGTGTTGGTAATCACGACACCTTGACCGAGATCTATTATTATCTACACACGAATCAAAAATATAAAAATAAAAAAAATTATCTTTTAGCGCGATTGAAACTCCTCAAATACACCAAGAAAATTCACACAATCGTGAATTCGTCTAATTAACGACGACATCGAAGACATAACATTTATCGCGTACGCGAAAAATTTCATTGCGGTGCATCTTAACAGTGGCTATGTAGATGATTGAAATTCGCAAGGGTGTCATACACGCGCGGATCATATCGTGTGCACATAAAGAGTTAATCAATCGAGACGCAATTGCGATGTGTTTCGGTGCCGGCACTTTTCTATCGCATCTATCGCTCGATGCTAGATTCCGTCTGTTCCTTACGTTGAAAATAATGCACGGATGCTCGTACCGAAAACCGACGCGCGATACGTATATTATGCATCGTGCCGCGCGAACTGTTCATTGGGCGGCGTGTTTCCTCCGCCGCCGCATGCTGTACGGTCGCGCGCGGACATTGCACAATTCGTAATTGACGATGTAATGAGCCGCGCGCACCGCGTTACACACATGTATATAGTGCACGCGTCGATGCGTACGCGAAGAATGTGTGTATGCGTGTTCGTATGTACTATTGCACTACTGCTGCCGCACCGACTCTTATACGAATGTCCGCGCCACTCATTACTCCCATAAGAAGCGATGCACAATATGCTCAATTGCATCTATGTCGTGTGCACTCGCGTGTTTGCATTTAGAAGCGACGCGTGCATGCGGCGAGTTCTCGCTCGACCACAGCGTTTATCCATGCACACACACACACGCACACAAACAACGCGAGAAAGTCCATCCATCTCCTGCGTGAGTAATGAGATGAGAGCGCTTAAATACGCTCCGAGCTCGAGCAAAGCGAGAGAGTGGCAATAATAAAACGCCGCCGTACGCCCACATTAATTAGATGCGCCGCGGCCGAGACTGCTGCTGCTGCTTTTGTTAGATTCACGTCGTCGTGGCTGTTGTTGTTTTGCTGCTTTCGCGGTGCGCTACGTGTGCGTATTATACATATGCAAGAGACTGTATATATAAAGAGAGATGAACGCAAAGAATACAAGTTTATTTTCGCTGTCCAAGAGCTTTCAACTTTATTATTTTTCAATTAGACTTTCTACTCCAGCGAAGATAATTACAATTTTTCTCGCTATGGAAAGAATATGACATTTTTGCTCGATTGCTCTGGCCGATGCGGATGCGTGTAATATATGAACGTATGTATATGCCGAGTGATGCAACTAAAATTAAAAACTGCACTCGACGTTAATAACATTGCACGTGACGTCGCGCAATACTGCTACTTCTTCGATCGCGTATATTATAAAAACTATTAATTACGTTAACGACCATCTCTCTGTATCTCCCATGAGATTCTCTCGCTTCTATGGCTTTGTGATTGCTTTTAATTATATTATATTATTATACTGCCTTGTTTACGAGCATTATAATAGCCATTGATTGCAACATTTCTGCGCGGAGTCGAAATTTTTTCTATATTTCCATGCCGTCGATTTGAAACATAAAAACCAGGTACATCAGTGTCGTTGTCAGAAGCTGTAAAGCGAACATTCGATATATGAGCACACGAGACAAGTTTCGAGGGAGAATGCTCTGGTAAAAATGCTCGACATTTTGTGGCAAGTTTTTGGTTAATGAGAAAGTTTCTCGAATGTGTGAGAGCTGTTAGAACTGGACATATAAAGACCAAAAGTGTAATGTTTTTTTCAATATTTTATGATTATCAAATGTTTCACATGATTTCAATGATCATTTCTGTACTTAGAAATTAATCCAATTAAGTCGCAATTATTATAAACGGTGATATAGTGTTCCCAAAAAGAAATTCAACTCGATTATTTTTTTTGTATTGTTTTAAGCCAGCTGGTAGGATTCGTAGATGAAATTTCATCTTGCCGACAAGTTTGGAAAAGTTAAAAATAAACACTAATGAATTTTATATTATTCAGTGGAACTAGAAAAATATTTGTTTCTCTTTGGCGAAATATAATTTCCATGTACTAAGATGAGATCAAAATAAGTGTATGTTTATCTAATTTTGTTTATTGTTGCTTAGAGCGATCAAATGATACTATTAAATTAAAACCGTGTTTGAACTTGTACAATTATTTTCACTTTGCCACTAGCAGATTTTCAAATAATGGCACTCGCCATCTAGCGGCAGAGACTTGAAATGATATTATTGTATTCGGAGTGGTTGAAAACTGGTTTTTATTTTTTGAAACAATTAAATTGTCATTTTGAGACAATTTAAAATGCGCTTAATATTTGCGTAATCATGTATTCAAATAAATGTTATTATCTTTTTTTTATCATTTGGCCATTGTGTGGAGCATTTCTACGATGGTTCTCGCGATCAGCACATATATACTTACGCTTTGAAATAAATAATTATCGATGTCATAGAGACCGTATATTGATACGCGCATTTTTCGGCTTTTCAGCTGAAACAAGTAGACTTTGATCTGTAATTGAGAGAAGAATGGAAAAACAGATGAATTATTATATCGGGCTTCGTAAAGTATATGAGGCGCATCACTTTAATTTCTTAACTTTTCTCATGACAACTTCTGCACGATGGTATTTGGCAGCGACTCGATTCATCGCCACCGTCGCATAATTGGCCTTTATTGCATGAAATAAAGAAAAAATATATTACGTCGAAGGCAAAACCTAGGCACGCGATCGCATTGACAAATTTACCTCGACGCAGGTCGAGTCGGCGATCGAGCAGAGCAAGTAAGTCACCATGAACTTGGTACTGAGCCAGAACGAGCACACCAGAAAGGCTTCGACGTAGTCGTCGAACGCCATCGACTTCAGCACTTGATAGATGTAATAGAGATCCGTGAACAGGCTGAGAAAGTGGGCGATCATCACGAACGTGACGGGCACGCCGATAAATCGAGTCACCAGCTGCATCGCGTCGCGCAGCGATCTCTGCAGCTTGTTTATCGAGGCCAGTCGTCTCGATACGCGAGCGACGACGCAGTCGTCGACGTCGACAATGGGATCGAGCGACAGGACCAGCAGCTCCTCGTTCGCCCGGCCGCAATAGTACTCGACGTAGAGCATGAACTCGATGAACAGCACGTAGATGACGAAGACGTCGACGGAGCAGACGCCGAACACGAGCCAGTGGCCGGATCTCTCCTTGTATCTCGTGTTCTTGATCAGAAACAGGTAGTCGACGATGCATATCGCGAAGTACACCGCGTTGATCGCGACGAATCGCAAGGTCACGTAGAGATACCTCTCGTCGAGATACGACGGCATTGCCAGCTCGCGCCTGCAGTTCTCGCAGTCGCCGACCGCCTCGAAGATCGTACGCGCGTCCTTCAGCCGGACCATCGCCAGAATCCAGAACGTCACGACGGCCAAGTTCTGCAGCTGCAGAGTGAGCGCGTCCATGATGACAGTCAGGGCGGTCTCGTTGAATATCTGGATGTTGAGTCGATTGACGAAGATGTTGAGAAACGAGTACGAGTAGAGCAGCACGAGCAGCGCGTTGTAGATCAGGCCCGACAGGGAAAATTTCAACTCGCGCTCGGGCACCGCCACGGTAAACGGGCACAGGCCCATCAATTTCAAGTAATAATAGTACAATTTTATCAGAAATCGTTTTATCAATTTCATGACGTTACGCGAGCGTAAAGTAGTGTCGGAAAAATTCAATTACTTCGGTGTCACTCGCCAAGCGTTCGATAACACTTTGATGCAATTGCATTTCTGCGGAACGATTTCGCTCCTCGTGGTTGATCAATTTTGCACGAGGAAAAATGTTTTCATAAAATGATAATTCTAATGGATGGAGCGTCGATAATCATGTGATGGCGCCAACGCGCGCCCCATATATTTTTCTTCTATCTCTAAATATGGTAGTTCTTTTAGCGAAAATCGAAGTCTCCTCGATTCAGCCCACCAAATCGTTGAGTTGAAACATGAAAACAAGAAACATCACGTTTGTACTGATGAGCTGTAGAAGTAAGCAAAAGAATAGTTTCTACGTGCGAGAACCGAGACATAAGAAAAAACATCATCATGCTCACGCTACGCAGCAAGTAATCATTGAGGTTGAATAGGCCGACGAACGACACGCTTATTCTTTTGTGGCGCAATTGAAACATGAATACCTTTATCTGCGAAAAGATAAAAGCCTTGAAATGTCGGCCCCGTAGATGCAATGAAAATTATTTAGAAAACCTTATCTCGGCACTTCCTCATCAGGTGTTTAGTATTGGACGCTCGTTCCAAGATCACCATAGTCTTTTTAGCCTGAAAAATTAACAAAGCTCGTACGTATCAACGCGACTGTATCATAAAGAAAAAGACGATCGATATAAATTTACATCGCGTCGCTGATAGAAATGCTCAACAATTTCAATTAGTTTTTAGACAACGAAGTTTCTTTTGCATAAGAGCTCTGCGTTTTTTGTACAATAATTGTTATTTATTTTGATTATATGAAAATCATCACCTAAACATACGTTATTCGTCGATTGCATTTGATTTATTTTCAATGATAATTGCTGAAAATTACGGAATATCATTAACGAAATGTCTTTGAATTTTTTCGACCACTTGCTCTTACTTATACAATTATTTTAACGTTACCACTTGCAGGTTTGCAGATGAAGGTACTCGCCATCTAGCGGTGGAGGTTTAAAGCGGCAGTATTGTATTTAAAATGGGTTAAAATGGTCTAAATTTTTGAAACAGTAAAATTGTAACAGAAAAACCTTTCAAAATAAGCCGATTCATTGTAAATTACTTCAAAACTTTTTGAATAGTAATTTTTTTTTTGACAGGCCACGTCTAACGTCGAGCATTTCAATCGAGAACCTTACTTCTCTACAGAGTGTGTCCGGCAGCGTGCAAATGAAATAGATCCCGAGCAGCTTGGAGCAGATCCACAGCAAGCTCAGGACGTACGAGTTGACGTCGCTGTTGTTCTCGAGGTCGCCGAACTTGAGAATCTGAAAGACGTAGTAGACGTCGGCCACGCCGTGAATGAACACGGCCAGCAGCGCGAACAGTATGAACAGGCCGAAGAGATCGGTCAGTCGGGCCAAGCCGTCGGTCAGATCGTCGTGGGCGCGAGCCACGGCGTCGAGTCGCAGCTCCGAGTTCCGATGATAAAAGCCGCCGTACTCGTCGTCGTTATCGAACAGACGCGCGAGCTCGCGATTCAGCACGGTGTAATAGTGCCTCAGAGCGATGATGGACTCGACGAAGACCAGGTAGACGATGTAGATGATGAATTTGGGAAAATTGTACCAGAACCAGGCGTCGGCTTGCTCGCGAAACTTCCGATAGAGCGACATCGACAGGTAATCGGACATGAACAGCGAGGCGTACATGACGTTCACCAGGCCAAATCGCAGAACGATGTAGAACTTTTGCCGCCCGTCGCCGCCGCCGCCGCCGCCGCCGTCGGGATAGCCGGCCAAGTCCAGCGGCGCCCGTGACACCGAGTCGTCGATCGCGCCGAGTCGCCGGAGCAGGTCGTCGATATACTCGACGCGGAAGACGAGTGTAGTCCAGCAGACCATGATCGCGAAGTACTGGAAGGTGAGGCCCAGGGCGTCCACGGCGATGATGAGGGTCGACTCGCGCGGCAGCTTGAGCTCGAAACGATAGACGATGACGATGCCGTAGCAGTACGTGTAGGCGGACATGAGCGCGAGATTGTAGAGCGAGCCCAGCACGGAGAATTTCAGGTTGATCCTCGACTGCTCCTGGGCGGTGGTGGTGATCGTGAAGGGACACAGGCCGAAAAATTTGGCCCAGTAGTAGACGATTTTGAAACGAATCGACTGCCTCATCGTCGACGATAGAAATAAAAGCTAGTGCGGATCAAACTATTTGTACCGTATACTCGTCAGCGTTCTACAGGTCAATTCCATAAGCTGGGAAACGAGGGGGTGAAATGAAATATGGCAATAACGTTTATCACCTTTTTTTTTTCATTATCTTAGCACTTACCGATCACTGAAAGTTTCCACGAGTACATATACGTATTCTATTTTTACGTGCATTCTCGTATCGCCAAACGAAATCTCTCAACTCGGAGCGACGATGCTCGTGAGCTCGCATTGATATATTTATTTTTTTTTTTTTTTAATTCGACGAAAATTGGCGCTCGACAACCTCGAGTACTGTATGTTTATTAGCGCGCGTAACCTTATGTAAATGAAACGGAGCTCTTCGTAACTCGTCTCTCCGCGTACTAACACACTTACACACGGTTTGACGTCGGCGAATTAATTCTTTCCGTCGACATCTAAATCATCTCGTCAAGGCTAATGATGAGGGCCTAGCAGATAGTGTACTCGGTCGGGCCGAAGCAGTGTCCGCCGCAGCGTAGGCTAGCTATTATGTGCCCGCGCGCGTAAATGTGTGTTGGTATATGTAGCGTACACACACACACACACACACACACACATGTACACGTAAAGTACCAACTCTGCTGATGCTGCTTCTGCCTCTGCTGTTTATATGTACGAGGCGAGCGCTCGAGCGGAAACTTTATATAAACCATTTACGGAAATGAACGTTTTAATGAGCTTGTATACAAGATTATGGAATTCGCAGTTTTAGTTGCACTCGTGCGGTTGAGAGATATACGAGAGAGCTTTTTTTTTGACTGATATAAATATAAAGCATAATAAATAAATGTGAATGAATATAATAAGAATACGAAGGCGAGCGGTCTGCCGAGAGGTAAATATACTTTCACACGAAGTTCGAGTCTGTTTACAAATAGACATCCGTCAAATGACTTTTGTAACGCTTCGAGCACACGCGAGAGAGACACAGACTTCATCTCAAAAGGATATCTCGGCTCGCTCTTTTCTCGAGCGTTATAAGCTGCCACTGCACTGAATCGAGCTTTACAAAAAAAAACAGAGCCCAAGCATCGCATCTAAGATCTCTTGTTTTGCGCCCGAGCAATTTTCGAATAGAAAGCCCTCGGCTGCTCACACATACACGCAGACGTTATAATATTTCACCGAGCGCTCGCGCGAGTGTGTATGTGTGTACGTGTGGTTAAAAAGCACTTGCTCGTATTTTTTGATTAATCTTTGGCGCTCTCGGCAGCAGCAGCGCACGAGTGTATAGCATATATAAATATATGTTACAAGAAAGTGCGCGCGGCAAGTGTTTCACGTACTTGCGCTCGTTGCATTGTTGAATTATAAATAGAGTTTATGTGTGAATGAATGCCCTCTAGAGAGAGAGAGAGAGAGAGAGTGATGGGTCATCTCGAATAAATCAAGAGAGAATGAAAGAGGCCTATAGACGAGACACGGGGGCTATTTTAAACCTTCTTTTTTTGCATCATCAACCTTTGATTAACCTAAATATTTATCGCGAGGATAACTCTATCTGTGATTTTCCAAGTTTTCACCGTGCGTTCTCGCTTTTATTTACGAGAGCTTTCCACTGCACCGTATTTGAGAGGAGAAAAAATTGACCCAATCGCAATGGCCCTTACAATAGCACTTCGAGCCAGAGAATGAAAAGCTCAAAATATTCTCTCGTTCTCTCGGTGTTTACGCTGGACAGGCACGTTTTATACGAGAGGAAACTATTTTTAACATTTGTGTATACGGCATAATAAATCCCGTGAACTGTTGAGTTTTGATTGCCTGGAAACTTTTTCGTGGATTTCCAGTCTCGGATCGCTGTACCGCGTGCACGCGCGCGTACAGCTGCGCATTGATTGTTTATATATCACCGTGCGAAGGATAGAAATAAAAAGACTCGCGCGCATTGTTTCAGAAAATCGATTGTTCGACATTCGGGAGGGAACGAAATAAGCAAAAAAAGTCGCGCTAATAAATAACAGCCTCACTATCGAAATTATCGATCCTTGACTTATCTTAGTTTTCGTCTGGCAATTTTCGCGTTATCGTCTGAGAATCTCACGGTTGTTGTTGTTTTTATTTTCGTTTTGGAGCTTGTCTGTCTATGGCATCTCACTCACATTTCGACGCGTTTCAATCGCCATTATTATAAACACATCGCGGTGTCCTAGAAAATCCTCTGCGCAGCAGCCATATACCACTCGATTTCTCCGCGATGCTTGCGAGCGAGAGATCTCCGCAGCGACGACGACGTTTAAATGTCGCGCGCGCTCGCTGCGTCAAAGAAAAAACTTCTCTCTCTCTCTCTTTCTCTCTCGCTTTTCCTTATAATACCGTCGTGACGATCCGTTTTCCTGCCGAGCGAAGTTTCAAAATCGTCGTACACCTTTCATTCGTATATTTTCATATTGTATACAGTACGATTTATATCTCGAGACACAGAAATTATACTTCATTACGCTCGCGCGTAATATGTCAATTTTCGAATTCGGTATAATATTTATGAGTGTGTAATATAATGTATTCGCGCTAAAAACGATAACGTGCACGGCGACGCTCTGTTCTCCACGAATCGTGCACACGCACACGAGCGCAGGAGGCGTAGTATAGCTCGATACATAATATTCTTAGAAAAACGAAATCGACTCTGCTTTTATTTATTTTTTGCACTCTCATTCGCGGTGTCGCGTAATTAACACTGAAATAACGACAGAAAGAAGTAAAAAACAAAAAGAAACAAATACACATTCGGCCTCGTTGTCAAAGAGAACCTATGTGCAAAAATTCACGCGAAAAAAATATCGGGTTTCAAATTGCTGTATAGTGTGCACGAACGACGATATTTATATGTATAAGTCGCACCGATTGTCCCCCTTATCAAGTGCACAAGCAAACTGTATCGTTGTAATATCGTATGTCGTCCGTTTAGAACTCTTCGTTTATATTCTTTGTGCACTGGTACATATAGTATTATTATTACTATATACGAGAGCGTCACATCAATGCCTCGTGAAATTTAATCAAATTACGCCGATTGGGTTTATTGTATTGAAGACCGCTCGGTGGTTATATTGGAGCGTTTAATTTTGTAAATGGATACTATTGCTCGCCGAAATTGAAATATATATCACACATCAATCGCGACAGGCGGTACTCCAACATTATTTTTTGCAAAAGATTGTTTAGTCTGTCCAAGTTTGTACTCACCGATTTTTCAAAGCTCTTTGGGCGATCCTCTGATGATTTTTAATCTGTGATAATCCGATCTACACAAATGCAATGAAAAACACACCAACTCAGCCCGGCACACTCATCAAAGAAACACGTCAAAAGAACAAAAATAAAACAAAAAACGGAAACAAAACTCGCGAGGCTTTGCCCTACCGTCGTCGGTCACGTGCACCAGCGGATGAGCACAGATCGCGGACTGCGCCAAGGTAAATCTGCGCTCTCTGCCAACTGCAGGATGCTACATGCATTATAAAACCCACAGCTTGTGAGCGAGCAGCGACATCGCTCGATCAGTCGCGGTACTGCATAGTAGAGAAGCTTTTTTGTCGACGCAGTGAAAAGGGAAAGACGATTTGAAATGAATATATAGCTCAACAATTTCGCGTGTACAGTATTTACAAAAGTATAATATAATACAGTGTGTACAATTCACCGATCGACGTGAGAATCGACAATGGGTAAAAACGTGCTCGAATCGACGACTTTGATCTCCGTGGCCGTCGATTTTTTCTTGCTCGTGTCCAGTCGATTCTCGGCCTTGAACTGCAGCGAGAATTCGTCCATCGACTCGAGCCACAGTCTCAGGGCCTCTGGCTTCCCGGGCCTGACGCAGCCCGGCTCTATCGCCTCGACGATGTCGCGCACACTCGCGCCCTGGACGCACTGCAGGCTCAGCGCCGCGGCCCTCACGAATCCGTCCGACAGGCTCACGAAGTCGTGCTCCAGGTAGAGGCGCTTCTCGTCCCAGTAAATGAGCTATACACGACGCAGACACACAAACACATTTTTGTGTAAGCGCCGACTCTCGAGCAAGCGAGAGATCGTTATCGTTTTATACATGAATATACACATGCGAGAAAGTGTCACAGCTATATGGAGGCTCACTGTACTGTACCTGCGTGGTGACTTTGTACGGCTGGAAGATACTTATGGGCCGGCGGTATCTAATCGAGGTCGCGCCTTGAAGTACCGTGGCCTTTCTGCGCCTGATTTCCCGGAATATGCCCGAACAGTCGTAGAAGCAGGAGCGGGCGAAATCGAGCTCGCGTATGTAGCGCGCGTTGTTCATGTGCTTCAGGAATATGTCGATGTCCGACGTCAGACAGATACCTACGTGTAAAAAAAACCATTTTCCCTTTTATTATATTCAACTTGCTACCTGTTTTATATAGGAAAGTCCAATAAAATCACACGCGACAATGGGGAAAAAACGAAGGCCGAGGCCGAGGCATAAAAAGAGGCTAAAATTAATGATCACATCTTTTATAAAAATTACAAGGTTTCGTGTTAATCGCGTAGTTTTTGATTGTGAAAAGATTTGCAGTACTGAAGCGGCGATCAAAGATTTGTATTCATGGTTTGAATTGTATAATGAGAGAAATTTCTGGTAGAAATGCTCAACATTAATAAAAGGCTTGTAACGAAAAATGAACTTGAAATGCTCTGAATTACATTATTAATTTACTTGCTTTTGGCCATTTATCTTTTTCAATTGTTATGTTACAAGCATTGACCGCATTTTATACCCGTAAATGACCATTTTACTGTTTAAAAAAAGTGAGTCAAGTTTTTAACCATTTTCAATGCAATAATATCATTTCAAGTTTCGACCACTAGATGGCCAGCAATCTTTTTTCGTAAATCTGTAAGTGGCAAAGTGAAAATAATTGTATAAGTCCAACCAACAAGTCGTAATTACAGTATAGTTCTTTCTGATAAAAATTTTCACCAGGGATGTCACCGAATTTAAATCAACACAGTCACTGTGCTCGTTCAGGACGAAAAGAATAATCAATTGAAATGCATACGATCTCACCGTGATTGACGATTTTCTCCAAGACTCGCTTGCGCGGATTGAAGACGCGACTCCAGCAAATCGCCAGTGTGAATCTTAGGAAGTAGTTGACGTCGAACAGCAAGTAAAGCAGGGTGACGCCGAGAAGCGGCAAACAGTAAATTATTATTGTAATCGACATTTTGTCATCTCTCTCTCTCGTGTATACCTTCTTACGGTGGTTGGTTGACGCAACTACTGCCGACGCTGTTGCTGCTGCTGTTGCTTTTGGCACAATACTAAGAAAAATAACGAAAAGTCAGTCTCTCTCTCTTTTTCTGTCAGTTGTCTCTCGATGAAGCGTCACGAATCGATGCGAACCGTAAATCCTGCACTGACAGGTGGAAACGCGTGTAATTAGCAACTATGTTGGTGCACGCGCGTGGCAATAAACAATCGTGCCCGATGTTAATGGAAGGAGACGAGGTAATGATTAATTTTTCCTTTTTTCTTCGTGCATTGTGCGCTGCATCGTCATCCCGAAGGCGAGATGCGTACTCGACGCAGTGTGAAGTGCGATGTATTATGAAAATCGGTAAATATTAAAAACTCCACCCTCGAGAGTTCGAGATGATCGCGATTGTTTATATCCATGTAAATATTTTATCAACTTACCTATATTTCCGCATCTATGCATCATTTCACGCTCCGGCAGACATCATCTGTCACTTTGACAGCAGAGACATTCGAGCTCGATAGGCATTCGTTCACAGACGAACGAACTGCAACTATGCGCGCCGTCGCGCGGCTCGCATTGTTTCGAATTATAATGCACGTAATGAGATCGCGGGATTCACCTGTGGCGGCGCGCGATATCTGCGGCCGCGTATACTCGACGACGTTGCTGCCATCTCTGGTTTTTGTTTCGAAAAGCCGTTGCAAATACTTGTATACCTTACCTGCTGAAACGTCGATATTGCAGAGATTCCAAAGAGAGGTAATGGAACACGACATTGTTCGTTTGGGATTGTATAAAGTGAATAATAGAGAGATAATATTAGAGTTAATTACTTGACTCGTGAACTTTATAAAAAAACTAAAATTTATTCAACGTTGTATTTGAAAAATAGTTTTCTCCTACCATATTTTACAAGTGTACAAAAATCTAGCGATTGATTTTGATTAATTTTTTTTTTAAGTAGCGCCTTACAAAAAAACAATTCTACAACTTGAAAGTACATCAACTTAATCGTATGCGAAGATCTAAAGACTCTAAGTGTGCACCTTAATTTTAAGCCAAAGTAACAGCCAAGCTACCAATAAGAAAAACCGCTGCCAATTTATTGGCGATTAAGAGCTTCCTCCTAAATATATGATCGTTCTTATTTGTAATGCTAATATACAAAATATCTAAACCCTTATTCGAAAAAAATAGTATACAATTAATCAATGTAGCAGTGGTCAAACGAAAAACAAAAAAAAAATAAACAGAATCGATGATCCATCAAGTCTCTATCGGGTGTACATAAAGTTTGTTTATTTGGTCTTCTTGTATCTGAGGGACGACTCCTCCATGGAGTCGAGCCAGAGCTTGAGGTCGGCAGTGGGTTCCGGACGCTTGGCGCCGGCCTCGACTTTTTCTATGATCTCGGCGACCGGCACCTTGAGGCCCGTCACGCTCTGCTTACTGAGAACAACGGCGCGCACGAAATTGTCCGACAGACTGATGAACTCGTGCTCCAGGTAGAAGTTGCGGTCGTCCCAGTAGATGAGCTGTCGACATATATCGATCATGTTTTTTTTTCACAGAAAAATCGAATTTTTATATGGGTGTGCGTTGACTCATACCTGAGTGGTGACTTTGTAAGGTGTGAAAATGGGTATGGCACGACGGTATCTGGTGGACGAGGCGCCTTGCACGGCACCGCCGCCCCTCTTAGCAATTTCTCCATAAATTCCCGAACGATCGTAGTAGTGGAAACGGGCGAAATCCAGCTCCCTCAGGTACCTCGCATTGTTCATGTGTTTGAGGAAAATATCCACGTCCATACTCAAACATATACCTGCAATTATTCATACGATATTAATGCGAATGTGAGAATTAGGGAAGGTATAACAAAAAAAGCACAATGAAAAGAAATGAATAACTCGGAGTAAATTAGCATGAACGAATGGCATGGAATTATAACGTTTTGGCTTTTTTCTTCAATTTTACATTTTTACAATGTTTGCGTAATGGAAAAAAGACACGTTATATCACCATTGCACGGAAAAATTAGGACGGCACGATAATGGAACAATTTTGCGCCGACGCTGCTATACTCGACGCTGCACCATCGAAATATGTATCAAGCTCGCGAACTCGTAATTTCGTACTATAATATGACTCAGCTTGATTAACTTTCTATTCATAATGATATGAACGCGAGAGTCTCGTTGATTTTTTTATTCTTTTTCAACTGTTGACGTGAGCGTGACAGATAGATTAATTTGTTTTATAGTTCACGTTAACGCAACGAAAAAACTAGTCAAAATGATGAGAAAAAACATTGTAATTTTTTACCTGAAAACGAAATAAATAATCGGAGTGAGAGCGAAGACGAGCAAAGCGCCAACGTATACGAGCCTCATCGCGTATGGCTAAAACAAAAAACACGACAGTGGCCCCGAGCAACTACTTATGAATATCCAAAATGTCTCGGACGTAGTTTCATAACGACCGAATGTGTAGTCAGCGTTTCTTGGTGGTTCGAGCATCGGCATATTTTAAATCGATGCAGTTTTTTTTATCAAACTAATTTCAGATCTATCAATCGGTAAAATAGCTTAAAAAATGGCCCGTGAACTCGCAGATGAATTTTACAGTGATTTATTCAATTATTTCGAAATATCCATGCACTTAGAAACATTTAAGAAAAAAAATGAAGTAAACTATATATCGTCAATTTTTTGAAAAAATAAATTGAATTGAGTTTTTGACAATTAAAAAAAAATTTACAGCTAACATAAACAAAAACAGGGGACGTAAACAACAGCAAATTTCGCATTGGGATTACATAAGATTTTCGTATAATGAACAATTGCTGACATAATTTGAAACGTTTGAGTATGCAAGAGCATCGATTTGTTTTTTCAACAATGTTTCTTTGTGCTATTAAACAAAATGCATGAAAGTTTCGATTTTATTCAATCGGCTCGGCATCAAATTTCGAGCCAACATTTGATGCCGAGCACCTAGAGACACGTTTAACAAAATTAAGGTTTTTTCCTCAACTTATTGAAAAAAATATAAGCTCTATGAAATATTTATTCTCCTCGAAACGTATGCCGAAATGGAAAGCAAAAAATTCGTGTTTTTTAGGGATGTGTACTCTTGTAAATACGTTTGGGGCCATATTTCCCAAAAGTTATATGCAATGACTTTTCAAATGACACCAATCTCATTTTTTTAGATAAATCGATATCGTCCATTTTCTTCGCCAAAAGTAACAGAGTGCGCCGATTCGCGAAGAAATCGCGGCGGAAAAAGTGAGAAAATACGAACCGTACATCGCTCACACAAGTCGCTAAAGTTCACTCGCGTGCGGTTATTATTTTTCATGCGCGACAACGCGGAAAAAAAATGACAGTCTTGGCCTAGCTCTAGTCAAAAGAGAGAGAGAGAGAAAGAGCGAGAGATAAAAAAACGTTGCTTTCTCATTTACAGAGTCATATGCTCGAACCATGCGAGTACAAGACGATTGAATTTTAAAGCGCTTTATAATGAAATGCAGCAGCAGCCGTGAATCTCAAACGATCTCTGTAGCGCGCGGCGATATTATCGATCGTAAAGATCGAATTTAAATCCGGCCTCTATAAACGAGTTAAAAAAAGAAATGATTCCGATATTTTTCCGCTCGCTCTCTATCAAGATTGCAAAACAGCAAAAATAATCGTAACCACCATGATATCGTCTAGAAAAATCGATAAGGTAAATACCGTAAATGGACGTCTTCTCGAAGATCTTTTTCTTCGCTTGGAACAGCCTGCCATAGCCGATGGTAAACAGTATCCTCAGAAAGTAATTGACGTCAAACAAGACGTAAGCGATGCAGATGCACGCCAGAGAGAAATAACTGATCATCGTTTCGAGACGTTATTGTATCAAAAAACTGTATCGATGGACTCTCGATCGTTCCTATGTAAAATCAATTCGCAAACTAAACTTTTATATGGAGAAAGTATAGTACAACACGGGTCTGCGAGAGACTGCGTCGATGTACGCGTGTCCAGTGGAAGACGCAGACTTGCCTGCGCATATACCGGTGAAGCACACATATAGCTAAGCAATGTTGTCAGACGAGTATATACGATACGCATTGTATATCTATGTAGTGTGTAGCATGTAGAGAGTGTGGCCCCGTTACTCCTCTCTCGCTCTTGGTCTGGCTTCGCTGCTGCTGCGTCCAATCAGCTGACGTCGGTGCCTACGCATCGAACGCAAAAATGCGGGAATATTCGAACGTTGAAAAATTGATAGCAGCCTCGTAGAAGCGAAATAAAGGAAGGAAATTGAATTATCTAGTAATGGTCGTGCTTAATAATGTTTATGGCAAAATTAACTCGAAGACTGTGATTGAACGTGACGAGTGCGAAACTATACGAGGGTACAATCGTGTGCGAGAGAAAAATCAGCTGAATCATTCGACTGCACTTAGAACGAGCAGCTCGGTAATTACCATCGTATAAAATTCTGCCGACTACTGCATGAATCAGGACGATCTGATAATCGGAAAAGGCTTCTGGCTTAAATAGGTTACAGGGGAGTTTGGGCGAAATGAATGAAGACAGTTTTTTTTTACTTTTTTTTTCGTAGCACTGTAACATCTATTGACTTGTTCTTGTGATGATATAACAGAAAACTTTGAAATGAATTACGAACAAAAGTAAACTTGCTTCCTCTCTTTTTTTTGCAAATGTCGTACTTCCATTATATTACAATAAAATAACATGTGTGTACGCGAAGCTTACATCTCGACGAGATGACATTTTACTATTATTTACACAACGCAAAGTCGTGATTTTTGTTAAGTCTTTGGCTGAAACTGCTCATACGATTTGTTGCGGGAAAAAATTGCTTCCAAATCATTGACAAGCGCTTGCATTGCACCCGTACAAATCAAAACTTATTCCAATATTATTTTATTCGACTATTTCACTAAACAATTTGCAGACGCAATTTAACATATATTTTTTTGTTTTCACTCAGGGCAACGCCAACGAAGACAAGCTTGCTAATTTTCGTTGCTAACATCGAATACGAGCAATATCATATAATTCATGTTTGATTTTTCGTTATTAAGAATGACTATTACCTACATATCTATAGAAATTACGTAAACTAGGGAAAATATCCAATTTTACGTATAAAAATGTAAATACAAAGAGATCTAAATATTACAAATTTAAATGCACGTATTCCTTAAGTACAGAGCAAATCATACAAAAATTATCGAGAAAACGCAAATAGTGAATAGTGGAAGAATAGTATTTTTTTGTTCTTTTTTTCAAACTTCGTTTTAGTAAAATATTTAGGCATATTTTTTTCAAATGATAGATTAGAATAATAGTTCGATATAATTTTTTAACATTTTTCAACACTTATCTTTTACTTATGCCCTAGCTGAAAGCATTCTTACAATTTTTTTGTCTTTACTTTCAGAAAATTGTGTTAGAAAACTTATATCTTAGGATATATATTCAAATACTTCATACAACTGGTTGAAGGCAAAGTGTGGATTATCATCGATCATTATTTACAATTCGTTTGTATTATTTTTATAATAAGACTATATTCCAGATATAGCGTTGGAAAAATGTCTCACTGTCGGTCACGATTATTAAAAAGTTTTTTGTTTCTCTGGAAAATGCGATGTACAATCAGGCGTAAAAAACATACCAGTATATTTTTCAACGATTCAAAATTGTAGCCCCCTTTTTTCGAAAAAGTATCTCTCAATCGATTTATCTCAAAACAGTATCAAATAGTAAGGATCGTTTAAATACGAAAAGCATCGATTTTCAGATAATCGTCGGCGCACGCACACATGGCATGCATCACACACTAAGAAATAGTCTTATTGTGCATCATTCCCGAAAATCGGTAAAATTTTCGAATGCAGTAGTTTATTACATCTTAAATTTAAATAATTAAACATTATGTCTTGGTACACAAGCTTCTTCCGAACCTTGTTTCAAAGCAATGATATTTGGAATGTATACAATGTAATACTCGAATTATTTTAGTACCTTCAGATTAAAATACGTCTTTTTTTACAATTATAATGAGAATTTGCCATTCATTCAGACAGCGTCGCTTAAAACCTACACATTGTAACACAGAAAAAACATCACGTCACAAATTCTTTTTTTTTCTTATAATGAGATTTTCTTGAAGGTAGAGTCCTTAAAATATACAGAAATGTAACAGTAATGAAAGATAGACGGAGAGAGAGAAACGATAAAAAAGTATAATTATGAAAATTTTGAATTTTTTCTAAATATAATTAAAATTTTATAATTACACATCGTGTAAACTCTTCTTCCATCGGCGCAGCAACCAGCACAACTCTCGTTGTACTTCGTGCGCGATTCTTAAAAATAATTTACGCGTAAAGCGCGTAATTTTGGAGAGAGAAAAAAATCTGGATAATCAACCCCGATCCAGTGCACCCTCCACACAGCACATTCTTATGGAGCCAGAGTACATATGAACCACGATACGTACAATGGCTCGTAATCCCGACGAATCAATATGATTCCTTGTTTTGTTTTGTTTGTTTTGTTTTGTTTTTTTTTGCCTCGCGTTACATATAGACCGGCGTCGTAATTGTCGCCGCTAATTATTTGTTCGCGTTTATAATAGAATAAAAACGTAGACTAGAAACTTCGACTTTGCCGTCATTAAAAATCGTACATAAAATAGGAAGAATTGAATTATGCATATATCGAGCATACGCAAACAGACAGACAGACAGACAGCACGGCACAGCACATGGCACCGGCGCAGTCCTTTTTTCTTTTAAATAGTCCTAAACAACAGTCGTCACGTAGATCACCTGTTGTTGCTGTTTTCGTTGCTGCTGTTGATGCTGTTGCTGCTGCCTCCGCTGCTGCTGCTGTTCGAGCAACTGCATTTGTCAGCAACGCGTCGATATGCTGTGAGCCGAGGGTGGAGGCGGCGGCGGCGGAGGAATGTGATTAGCTGCCGCGGCGGCGGAACGACTGGCCGCACGCAGATTCGCCGACGAGATCTCGTTGCTCTCGATCCAGCGAGCCACGTCGGGAGGTACCTCCGGCCTCACGTGCGGTATCTGCGGAGAGCGTGACAATAAATAGAAAAATTATTCAATGATCAATGACGACTGTTTATTATTTAATTTGACGTTATCGGAAGAGCGAGAGCGAGAAAAGACCAGTCAGATTAACCTGGATTCCCTTTTCTTTCACTTTGGGTACATTGTTTGAAATGTCCTCAATCCCCGAGTAGGAGGCGACGAGTATTAATAATAAAGAGCTTTACACATCGGGAAAAAATCAATAATCGCGCGGGCGCCCGTTATTATTAGTTTTTTTTTTATGACTGTGTGACACGGGGCAAGGGGCGCGAGCTGCCGCACACAATTATTAGCCGATATGAATTACCGCAAAAATGTAATACACAATACCTGCGTGTGACCAGCTTCCAGGTTGTTGTTGGCGCTGCCGTTGTGCTTGACGCCACGATCGATGAGCGCGCCCATGACGGCCTCGGCGCTGCAGTCCAGCACCCGCTGGCGGCACGTTGCTATCGCCCGCACGAAATTGTCCGACAGCGTGATGAAGCGATGCTCCATGAAGATGGACTTTTCGTCCCAGTAAGTTATCTGAAAGTGAGAGAGAGAGATGAAAAAAGGGGGGTCAATTTTTTGTTCGCAGCAGCAGCTGTCAAAGTCGAGAGAGAGAGAGAGAATTTTGAAAAGAAAAAGAAAAAAACGAGGACGCATGATTTTCCGCAGGCATGCTTACCCTGGAGGCGATCCTGTAGATCGTGAACGGCCGCAAGAAGCGCCTGTAACGTATCGTGGCGGCGCCCTGCACGACCCCCGTGCCCTGGGCGCAGATCTCCCGGTAGAGATTGGTGCGCTCGTAAAAGTCGGCTCGGGCGAAGTCGAGCTCGCGCAAGTAGCGCGCGTTGTTCATGTGATTCAGCAGCCAGTCGATGTCAGTCGTCGTGCACAGGCCTGTAAATAAAGTACAAAAAAAGAGGAAATTAGAGCGTTTAATTTAGTAAAGAGGGGGGGGGGGGGGNGGGGGGGGGGGGGGGGGGGAATTAATATAGCAAAGCTCGCAAAGCTCGAGCTTAAAAAAGCTCGAGAGCTTGTAATGCCGCTTGTAAGCTCAGTCTCCTGCTTTTTTGCTGGCACGAGCTTTCAAGGCTAAAGTATACAACGATATTAATGCTAATGTACAATTCACGGATGATGTATGTAAGAGCGATGTTGCGATAAAAGCTCGCGCAACCCTCGAAACTCGAGAACGATCGAGGAGAAAAAATATCATTTGTATTTTTTTCTCGCCAAGTATTGTCAAAAGCAAAAATCAATTAATCGTCTACTCGAGTGGACGGAGCTGCTTTCTTCTTATACAGCTTCGGTTCCAATTAACTTTGAAACCCGATAAAGTATTCGCCGGCAATTCTTTACTTCGTTCCATACGATAGCCGTCCGTGCGTGTACAACGCATACAAGAAGAGTTTATATAAGGACAAGGAAAATTAACGGGGGAAAAGCCATAGACAAACAAAAGAGTTTTCTGCTATACTAGCTAGGAGGTACGATATACGAGTCCTCGCATAGAGCACGGACAGAAAAAGAGCAAATAAAATCGATAAATATTGCTCTTATACAGCAGCAGCAGCTAAAATAAGAGAGAAAGACGCGACAGAGAGTGCATGTATATTGCCGTACTGCAGCTAAGATTATATTTATATACCTAGTACTACACAACAGTGGCGGCACGGTCTATGTCAAGGTTAACCGCCGTCGACGTGTCGCGAGCTGATGTATGCGCCAACGCGAGGGTTCACACTTTTGTGCGAAATTATAAGGCTTCCGCGCGGATAGCTGCAAGCTAGCTAGCTTCTGCTCTGATGCAATGTCTCTCTCTCTCTCTCTGTCCGCGTAATGAATTATCGCGCTACAGCAGCTCTTTTATTTATAGTCTGTATACATGTAGCTGAATGTAATAGAGAGAAAGAGCTACCAATGAAGCGTTAACGATCGTTAGATAATAGACTCTGTTTTTTTTTTTTTGCAAATCACAAAACCGTGAAAAAAGCTCCGATACAATTGTAACGATGCATCGTATAATAATCTAATGATGTGTATATATCACACATGTAAAGTTATATACTATACACGTCTCTAACGTGTCATCGCAAATTGACCCGCTTAATTCGTCTATGCACGCGTGCATAGATGGTGAGCTTTATCATCGTCTACTATATAATACGTGTATATACAAACCGCAACGAGCGCATAATAAAGTATAAACACAGCAGCGCGCGTATATATAACTATACCTTCTCCGTGACTCAATTACAGTCATTTTATCGAGCTAGTAAAAACACTGGAGGAATGTATAAAAATAATCGTCGTCGTATTATACATGATTATAAAGCATAATGTGACTCTGACATCGCGTGGAAATTTAATTAATCTCGATATACAAGCGAGAAGAAAAAAAAAAGCTCGTCCCGAGGCATATCCTGAAACGTCGTCGTCCCAAGTCCTGATTTGTGATCGTCGTCTCGTGTATTGACCGCGGAAGTCGTAATGCAACTGCGGCAGCAAGCTTATATTATGTTCGCTTCAGAACTGCTGAATTATAATTTTATCGTTTCGCGCTCGGCGCTCCGCGCCCGAAAAATTTCCATTGCCTTCGCGGGAGCGCTAATGAGATTTAAAAAAAAGAAAAATATATATAATACGCGAATAGGACATCGTGCAGTGTCGGGGATTAAAACGAAATCTCATTTCTTTGTAAATATACGCGTTTTAAATACACGTAGAGATCGGTAACGAATGCCATTTTGATTTCTCGTATCGAACCGTAACTTTTACTCTTTTACTCGCGGCTCCTTTCGCACACACATTCGGTACGTGCGCGATCTTGAAACTTATAGCATATACACGTGTTATTTGTCGCAGGCACGACGACGCGTGTTGGTATATATAATGTAGCGCACGCCGTCTTGTGCATCGAAACGATCCTCGTGTCCTTAACACCCGTGCTCGTGTCGAAATTTTCTTCTCTTTCTCTTTCATTTTTTCTTTTTTCGTCAAGTAGGCTACACGACGCGACGCCCGGACGAAGTATGCACTCGGAATGAACGATGATGACGACGATATCGATCCCGCTTTCGCGAAGTCTAGTTAGAAATTCAAGGATATCAAGCTCGTTCATCATATTATATATTAAAAAAATTATCGCATGTACGTAGAGTACAACGCGGAATCTCGGACTCGTCCGTTCGCTAATGTGCAGCTTCACCGAAAGCATAATTAATTTTTGGGAGTGCAGTCTGTGCTGCGCACCGCGGGGAGGCGTCTCGAAGTTACGCAAGATCGGTACGTACGCGAGATTTTGCATTTTTACGATTAATACACCATAAAATCCGGCCCGCAATCGAAGGATGATTTATTCGACGATGCGTTTTATACGCGCAGTGTAATCGAATTAGAAAAATACTCGCGTTATGCGGTACGGTTCTCTTTTGTAACGCGAGAGCGGCTACTACTACCACATAGTTAGGTAGCTCAGCTGCGTGTGCACACGTGCAATTGCGCGAATGTATTTAACGCCATGACCACCACCACCACCACCGCCTCCTCTTTCTCGTGCGCGCACAGTTGCATTACATAGTTGCGCACATCGAAGACGACGACGACGACGAGGCAAGGTCATATAGCGCGAGAAAAGCACATCGCGTCGTTGTACGCGTTACATGAGAGAAGCGTATTATACGTTATGGGGTCTCCCGTTGCCTTACCGACCTTCAATAATAATCCTACGACGCTAGGTGTATTATAATGCTGTAAAAGCATGCGCCCGGATCTCTCTTTCTCGTGCGCGTCTGGACGGAATGTCTCGTAAAATACCGCAAATTTCTCATCGATATCAACGTATACGCGACTGGAATTGCGTATAGAAACCGACAACGACGCACCCGAGCTCATCTTTGCGCAATGATTTTTTTTATATCTGCTGCAAGACTCCGTTTCTAGATCACTGCTAACTAACTAGCAGCGCTTATAGTTCACCGCGGTAATCAGCTGGGAACGATCTCTCTCTGGCTCTTCATTTACATCGCGTGTCCGTCCGTCCGTCTATTCTTCTCTTCTGGGTTGAGGCGAAGTCGATACTACACGGTAGTTCCCCGAGCCTTGGATACGATTGTAAACTTTATATGGCCGTACGCGCAGGTAAACACGATGTCCTTTCATTACAATATACACAGATACACGCCAGTCACGCACGCGTATCAGCGGTAATTAAATCGCGTTTAGATTTATAATTTTTTTTTATCTTGCTCGTTATTGTACCACTGCTGCTGTGCGCCATCCCAAAAATATACGTGCGTCGCGTGGAAATGAGCCTGTAATTTTGATCAAACGATCCACGCGCGTCGGCAAAACCGGATAAAAATATACGAAGCGTTATTCGTAAGAATAGCCTTTGAATATTTATATTTGGCAAAAAATTTTGAACTCGTTCGCGATGCACGAAAGAACCTGCGTGCATTCTTTCAAATCGTCTTGTTGTTGTTTTTTTTTCACTTTGTAACTGTCACGCGCTTCAATGAAAAAGCTTCCATTGATATTTCTCGATGCACCGCTATACTTTCCAGTTTCGTCGAGAAAAAACCCTTAACGATAGTATCGAAGAAAAAGAACCAAGGAAATATTTATTGTAACGAGGATATGCGAACGCACCGTAGACCGACGTCTCGTCCAGTATGTGTACCCGCTTCCGGCAGAACCTCGCCAAGAAGACGGTGATCAGCATGCGCAGGAAGTAGTGCACCTCGAACAGGGCGTAGAGAAGCACGAGGGCCCCAAGCGCACCGACTAGTATCCAACAGGTAGTATCCATTTTGTAACCCTTTTACGCCGCTGCAGCTAGCCCCACTCTACGTGTATTGCAATTCTCTCGTTCTCGACGTTTCTATGCACCACCTCGGCTGCCGCTTCTTCTCCACCCGAGTCTTCGTCTTCTTCTTCTTCGTCTTCTGCTTCGTCTTTATTGCGATCGAGAGAGCCTTGAACTTGGAGGCGTCTGCTTTTTGTAACGAATAAAAAAGAAAGAAAACAATGAGGTTTTATCACGAACGAGAGAAAGAGAGAAAGAAAGAGCGAGAAGGAATAAGAAGAAAGGGAGAGTAGTTGTAAGATGGTAGGAAGGATCCGGTTTTGTATATACCGAGTCTCGAGAGACGGAGGATTGCGATCCTATATGTATATAATGCAGCAGAACAGGTAATTCTCAGCTATGTACAACTGCATCGTGCGCGCGCGATTATTTAACGGAAAAAGTTTAAAAACATTACTCCGAATTGACGCGGCCTGTTTATATTGAGCGTTTTGCAAGTCAAAGGCAAAAAATTCACAGACGCGTGCGCTCACATTTTGAAACACAAATTTGAAGTCACCAAAGTTGCCAATTATCATTTCAATATGCGCGCGCGCGTGAATCGTTGGAAGATGCTCATTTTTCGCGTATACATTATTCAAAGCGCAATTTAAGTTTGGGGAAAAAGCGAACAAAAAGAAAGCTCGAAGGATTATGTAATCTGCGCAGAGCGAGAGATAAGTTTTGCGTTTACATTATTCGAAACTCGCCAATGCTGATTACCGATGCTATTGTTCGCGAACTCGCTTCGAAATTGATAAGTACACAAGAAGATGAGTTTACCTGTTTTGCAACGAAGAAAAGTCGTCCCCTCCTGTCTATATCTAAATTCGCTATATCGTTCGTTTATCTATCACGACTTCTTTGTCGTTATCCTTATGGCAAAAAAATAACAACTTTTTCGCTCGTACATATTATCATAAAAACCAAGACGGGGCTCAAAACACTCGAGACTCGTCGTTATATGTATAGACGCCGAGGTACTTGGCCATAGTCGCGCTTTTAGCCTCTCGTCGTCGTAGTCGTCGTCGTCGTCGCAACGACGACACAGTGCGACATTTTCCGCACCGCAGCCAGAGAGAGAGAGAGAAGCGTATCAAAAGTTTTCTGACGTGCAAAAGCAGAGCACGACCCTCCTTCCTCCTCTCGCTATATACTTATGCTCGACTCTACGGTCGTCGGTGGCAGGTAGCAGTAGTAGACTCTGTGGGTGGAAGCTGCTGCTGCTGCTGCCTCATGTATACGTAATAACGAAGAGAAGAGGTCGTCCGCATGTATTACGCGCTGGGCTTCAGAGGGTTGACGATCTCGTCGTCCGGTGAAAAGAAGAAGAAGAAGAAGACGACGATGCCGCCACAGATGACGACGACGTTGATGCCAAAGCCTGAAAAGCCCACAATGTTATAATGTAGAGGTTTGTATATATGGAGAGAGAGGAAGATGAATGAGATGATGTTGATGGTGTGTATAATATAAAGAGACCCACTGAGCTCATTTGCATCGTATCGCATTCATACTGTATACATATACGACTCTCGTTTGTGTAGTAGTGTACATCTTAACAGCCCGACGCAAAGAGAGAGATAGGTTATAGGTCAAAATCTCTTGCTCTCGCGATGTTTATCTCGAAATCGTATTGTAGTTCACTTTTCACCCTTTCTTACAAAACTATAAAGCACGCAATTTCAATACAACGTCCGATTATGATTTTCTCAAAAGGTCACACACACACACACACACACACACACACACACACACACACACACACACACACACGGACGCGTCTAATGAAATCAAAGCCAATTGCCGATTCACGGCGTCGCGAGATCGCCATTACATTTCAATATTTATCGATCGAATGTGATGAAACTCGCGCGCGGGCACCGCCGCCAAGCCAACGTCTACATGTACACCGCACGTACAACGGGTATTAACTAACGAATAATAATAAAGGCGCTTCGTTTTTTTTTCATTATGCAACCCAAAGAATGGACGAGAGAAAAAGAAAACACACACAAAAATCTTACGAATTCGGATGACAGCTCGCGTGTCGCGGACAGCACAACGCAACACAACACAACGCTAAACTAAACACGCGTCGCGGGCATATAGCATTAGGCGATGTGTAAACATGAAGAAACATATAGCACACACGATATTTGTTATTCACCGACACACAAAAGTAATCTAGTCACGTTTGATTCAACCTGCGATTATAGTTCGGGAATTACGCGTGGATTTCCAATCATCGAGCTCGGACATCTATATATTTGTGTAATAAGCTCGTATAAAGATGACGTCGCGGCGATATATCACTCGTGTACGTACGTACGACGATGCGCGTACGAACGCGCACCTTTTATCGTAAACACCGACGAATTAGCTCGATCGCGTTATGAAAAAACACAATATGCCGGAGATCTAACGCCGCTTCCCGGAATCGTGTTTTTTAAACGATTGCGCGTATATTTGGCCAAGTTAATGTAATGAAATAGACCAATTAACCCGAGCGTATATCATAACTATATTACGGCACATGTTTATACATATTTTATAATATGTGCCGCACCGAGTAATATAAAAAGTTTTGGATCATATTTTGAAACGTATACGTCAAAATACCGCCGCGAGTGTATTTGGCCTATAGCATATAGCCCCCGCCGCCGTCAATTCGACCGGCTTTCAGAGATCTCTCGTAGTATAGTATATACGTTTTAATCAATTTCCTTTCCCTTTTTCTATCACGCGGCTGCCGCTGCTGCAGACCGCGGCGCCTCCGAAACTCGGACAAGCTTTACGGGAATACGACGATATAACAAAAAAAGAAGGATCGCAAAAAGCACGCGAAGGAAAAACAATTCGTGGTATCGAGATCGAAAACCGCATTACTGATCATTGAGACTGTGCGTTGGCACGATTCCACGGATGGCACACACGTTATTATCCAATAAATTTTTATAGTACCAGAGCACAAAAAAAGTACGTTCAAACATATCCTTAAGCAGCTGAGTATAGAGAGCTACGCGTGTGTACGGGAGTATTAATAAAATTTGTCAAGTGTGAAAAGTGTTTCTGTATACACGTCGTTTCGCAAGTCAACACGAAAATAATACAAGTTATTAACAAACACACAACGAGATGAAGAGACGCTGCAGTACTTGGAAAAACGTCCCGGTCAATTTTCGTCAACGACGCCACGGTTTTTTTCCTATTATTTCGTTAATTTTTACTTTTATGAAATAATACTACTTTTATGATTCTTTTCAGATGGAAATTGAAAACGCGTCGCGGGAACGTATCTTCCGAGAAGTCGCGCGCGTAATCGATATTTTCTCATCCTTTTTACCTTTTTCAATGAAATGCACTTATCTTGCCGTACGACTCGAACAATTTCAATCAGTTACTATATACCGAAGATGTAAAAAAATATATATGCCATATTATAATAAAAGGCGGATGTGCATGTGCTCGGGCTCGCAAAGAGCATGTCGGCTACTGGCAGCTCACTCGTATACGTACAGAGCTAAGCGCGAGGTCAAGCGAATCGATATTGGCATTTGAAAAACTGGCGTTTGACCTGCCTGCCTGACTGACTGCAGCGGCGGATTTATATACTTAAACGAACTAACGCGCAAAGGATTTAATATTATGTATTCTAGCCTGACGCTAGCTAGCCGTTGATGCAGCCGTTGTTTCCCCAGACGAGTTTTATATACGATATGATGCAAAACATCATGATTCCACGACGTCGACGACGGCTACGATGACGCATATCTATATATTTGCGCCGCTGCATGCATACGCACGAATGCAATAGATGATAAAAAAAAATGCATTCCTTCAATGGACTTCCTGATGTACGCGTTTGTGATTCATTTCTCTCTCTCTCTCTCTCTCTCTCACTCTCTGATCTCTCTCTCTCTCTCTCTCTCTCTTTCGTTTGTGTGGCGTTTGAGATTCGATCTAATGCATGTACTCTGCGGCGTGCGAGAAATTTTAATCGATGAATTTTGCTTTTCATCGAGGACGAATTTTTTCGGATTTGAATTTTTTTGCCCTCGCATTTGCATGAATGCGTATGTAATACATTATACATCGTTGGAGCAACGATAGAAATATACCGAAAGTATGGATTTTTATATTTGGTAAAATATTCAAGTTCTTTGCACAACTTATTATAGTTACATTGAGGTCGTGAATTTCCTTTTATTTTACTTTTTTCTGTCGCGTTATAAGGCAAAAAAACAGAGAACTCGAATTTTTGTCAGCTATATAATGCGCGCGTGGCTGGCTATGCTATAATGTTGTATACTATATACCTCTTCTGCGGATTTCATTCTGACAGCTTTCGGAGCGTCTAGTCTACTCGAACGGCTCTCTTAATTTTCTCCTTCGGCAGCACAAAAAAAAATCACACAAACTTGCACAAATAATAAATACGTGCCTATGCGTAACAAAACAGTACGCGTATCTGTCGATCTTCGCACGTGTTAGCGCGCGATTATTTGCGCGTCGATTTCGTAATTGAAATTTCTCGAACGAAACTCCTTTTTTTATCTGCTTCTGTTGTCTCGATTCAACGCTACTCTGCTATCCGGCGTCGAACATGAACATTGTCTCCGCGCGATTATATTACTCGTTGGACATTATTATTTAATAGCGGCACACGCACACACACTCACGCACTGATCTAATAAAAGTGTCGAACCGATCGCGCTATGATCGAGCGAGGTGCGTCGCGTACATTGGCGAGCGATATATATCGTCGATCCGGGAGACTGCGTCGGCTGCAATGCTGCACCGTGTGTTTCTGCCGCAGCTTGATAGAGCGAGCGAGAGAGAGATAGAGAGAGACCGGTTTTTCACGCACGATCCTTTTTTTTCGTATCGGTTCTCATTATTTCTCCCACCCACCTTTCATAATAATATTTTTATTGATACGCGTGCGCGCGTGAGTTTATATGCAAACATCGAGGATCTACGCTAAAATCCACTAAATAGTGGAAATCGTCGATGGCTAATGCGTCGCGCGCGCGCCCCTTTTTTGTATTAATATCATTGCCGGGGAAAAGTGAACGTGATTGACGATGTATACGTGTACCTATACGAAACGCGAAAGTCTCGCGAGCGATGCGAGAGAGAGAAAAACCCGAATGCGTATCGCGTACGTAGGCGCCTTAGCAGCAGCGAGGAGCACCTCGCGCAGCTCAGACAGACTTCGGTCAGTTGGTCATGGGGGTAAGGATAAGCGACCCAAATATATACCCAACGAAACGCGTGTACGAGATCGGCGCTGCATACGGTGCAGCAAGCCTCGAGCTCGAGCCGAGCGGAGTTGCGTAAATTGCATCACACGGTGAGCTGCTGCTGCCATATAGCCGAGTAATCGAGCACATGCTCGCGCACATTTTTATACTATATATCTCTCTGGAGTTAAGTAAGGCTTATAGTGCAGCGTGCGTGCGTGTGTGTGTGTGTGGAGCGCGCGAGCCATGACGCGTGTGCGATCGAGAAAGAAAAATAGTTTCCATCGACGAGATTCTGCGTCAGGCAAGCAGCTCATAGTTCACCGGGTTGCTCTAATTATTTCAATCCTTTTTTTCTCATTTAATGGTCCCGCACAAAGATAGAGAGACAGAGAGGCAGAGAAAGTGAAGTTTTTTGTTCTCCCGCGGGCGTAGTACATTATTTCAGCAAAACTGTATAAGAATACACTCGTACATGTGGTATAGAAGAAGTCGCGCGAGGTGCGTCGAGAGCTTCTATGCTGCTGTGTAGAACACATTGTATGACATGAGTGACATAATGAGAGCAGAAACTTGAATTTTTTCTTCGCGAGTGGCACGCGTACGTATGACACGGGTACGAACTTACACAAAGGTAGACGATGAATTTTGCAAAGATGGTCCTTTTGTGTCCTACGCAGTTTATTGAATTAACGAAAGCTTTTGGGTAATCGCGTTTATCCTACTTTTGCTTCTCTTTTCGAGGCAACTTGTATAATAATAGTAATAATTGATCAAAAAGGAAGTCAAGATTTGTTTGGATGGGTATGAGAGAAAGACACTTTGGCACTCTTGCGATCGTAATCTTTATGTGACGCATGCGACAAGAAAGAGCTCCTCTAATCGAGAGCGAGAGTCAACCGCGATTTCATCGACGGCGACGAAAAGTGTGTAATAAAATTCAAGTGTACTTGATTCGCGCGTTCGAGTGTATTATGACTATACGCCACCGACGACGAGGTAAAAGTTGTCTTTGTCGCGTAATTGATTGTGTTCTAGCTTGAAAATGTATACGTATATAGTGTCGCTAGAGCACTGCGTAAACTCGCGCGTTTGTGCACTAAGCTAATTACTCCAAATAAGCCGCGTGCAGCCAACTACTACTATAGCTGACGATCGCGATTTACATTGACAACTGCTTTTATAAATAATTTACGCGTGTAAAACTATTTAACTCTTTGCTCGATTCGTAATGTCATTCAATTTTATGAGCTTTTATTGCGATAAATACAAGCGAAAATGAGCTGAAATAATTGTAAACAGGAAACTGTGTACTTTTTCGATACATATAATGATAATCCTGTGGCACAGGCACGTGTGGAGAGTAAAAGAAAATATATAAATACAAGAGAGCAGAGAAAGTGTAAAAACATTAAATTTAATGTTAATCGATCAATGAACATTCTTTATCTGTTAAGCAACTCCGATCGACTCGAAAGTTTTAATTTTTGTAACATAATTATCTCTCTCTCTTTCTCCAACAATGTCATCCAATCTAACTAAGTCATTTCTAATTAAGCAAGTCCCGGTCGTTCGGAAAAGCACATCAAGCACGACGCGAGTGCACAATATCTGTATATACACGTAGCAAACACAGATCAGCTGATTGCAGGCCGACAGGCGAAATGTGTTTCCCCTTTTTATCGATCCCATTTTCATACCCTCTGAATTAAAACGGCGAGTGATAATGAAATTACAGCAACAACAACAAAAGCTTACCTTCGAAATCCTCGAGTCTTACAACGCTGTCACTCGGTAACAACAACTGGTGCGTACGCGTATATAACTACTTATAGTACGTGTACAATTGTACGAATCTCTCGAAAATACAAAATGAAAACAACACAGACACGCATGTGACACAGGATCGATCCGCCGCCGCGAGCCGCAAGCTACACGTACTTGCTGCAAAATATATCGTGAGTGTGCGAATTCGCAAGCGCCTAGCTCCACGATGTGTATAATATACGTCTCTGTTGGGCTGCGCACGCGTTTTAAACGCGCGGCTACGCGGTCGAAGCACTACTGAACTTTGTGTAGAAGCGGCGAGAGAGCTTTGCTGCCGTTGCTGCTGCTGCGGCTGATGGTCGCGCGGAGGTATATGGCAGATGAACACACGCGGCCCGACGCCACTATATATAATGATTTCGAGCTCGCAGGCAGGCGCGCGCGCGCATCAGGACTACTATATGTACTCCTCACCGCGTCGTCTCCTCACCTCCTCGTGTCGTTTGTCGCTCTCTACTCGTTCAGGTGGACGTGTACGAGCGAGTATTCTTTTGTTGTTGTTGCTTTTTTTTGCTGCTGCTGCTGCTACTATTGTACGGATCGAATGTCGCGGACTGGCTTTTATCCTGCGACGATGCGAGAGATTGATAAGAGGATGTGGCAGTGACAAATTTTCGGCAGGGATTTACACGAGCTTTTGGGGATGACAGGGTGAATAGCTGCGAATCGATTGGGGATTTTAGTTATATTTTTGGGAGATAACGAAGCTGCACATAGTCGAATTATTCATTCGAATGATATTTTTGGACCGATTTCAACCGTATTATACACGGGTAAAGATTATCGATCGATTAGCTGCTAAATAGTATTACGGTGCACCTATATAGCGCTTTAACTTTTAATCATTTTAAACGAATTCAATTAGCGGATGTATGATCGGTATTATTAGCCACAATTAATATCAAGAGGATGATTATCCTCAAGTGATATAATTTTCTCGTATAAATATTAGATTAATAATTATTAATAATTAAATAAATTAATACGACTTTGGTATCGATCGTTCGATTGTTACGACGATTTCGTAATAAGAGGCTAATTTTTTTAATCAATAAATCCCGGAAAAAATCACGTACTCTCGTTACGAAAAACTGAAAAGTAAGTAAGTATAAAAAAGAAATGAAACCTATATAATAACTCGTCATCGTGACCATTACTTCAAAAACCCAATTATGTGTACGATGTATACATATTCGAAACATGCAAGAATTTCTCTTATTGACAAAACTCTTTAACACTTTTGCCGCATATATATTCACTCTCACTTTATCCTATGATATACGCGCGAAGCTTGCTCGAACGGCTACGAAAAAACTCGAAAAAGACACTATAGAATCTACTTACGTTCTCGGAAGAAGTTTTGGGATTATTAGCATTCGTCTACGCGCGAGTTCACTACTTTTTTTCTCTTCTTATTCGATCCGAGCCATAGAGTATACACGGCGCTCGCGATGAGATAAATATAATTATCGAGTCGAAGAATATAACGAATGATTCAATTTTTCCTCGCGCGAGTAATGACGTGCGCTGTATTTGCGTACTCGTTACAATTTTACAACAACAAAAAAAAAAAGGAGTAAAACGGAATACTTAGAAAGAGGACGATGACGGCAACGATAATGAAAATATAAATTGTCGATCGATATTGGTTAATTGAACAACTTATGCTACACGTGTAAGCTGTGCGTTACTGCACACCGCTGCGCGCGCTGCAAGTGCATAATATTATAATCGAGGGATTTTTCGCCTTACTCGATAGCGCATACGTAGTGTACGTATGTGCGTCACACATGCACCGCACGCAGTAACGCGAGCGAAGAGTAAAGTAAGCAACAACGTGAAAAAAGGAAAAAGGCAAAAAAAAAAGAAGGACGAAAACACGTATGTACGTACGCCGCGGGGATTTTCGCATATCGCGTAATTCTCCGTTCATATAAAGTGCCATTCGGCGTACAAAGCCCATAGCGGATGTTGTTGCTCCCTTATAGTTTTCACTCTATAAAGTCGCTGCTGCTGCACATGTACTCTCCTACCAATGGAAATTTCCCTTTCGCCTTCTCGCATCGTTTCAGAACGTTCTCGTGTACGCTTCCTTTTTTCTTCCTTTTTTTTTTTATTTTTATTTTATCGTCGTTTCTTCCTTCTCCTCTTCTTCGCTCGTATTATATATCAGGCAACAGCGGCACAAAGATCCCGGGGAGAACATCAAGTATAGAGAAAGAGAGAGAAGCCTCGGCGAAAATGTAATAACGCGTATACTCGTTTTTCTTCAACTCGCGCTGGAATTTATACTCTTCAGGACGATGGACGACGAGCAGAATCTCACGCACGACCGTCGATTTCGCGGCTATTGCCCTTACGGATGAGCAAAGGAGGAAGAAATAGAGGACGATTGGAAGTCCTTTCTCGAATTTAGAAATAAACTATAAACGAGCCCCGCTTTATCACGGACAGAATTGGATTTTATCGCTTCTTTCGAGAATTTTTCAAACGTGCGGATTACCGTAGCCTTTCTTGTTATGCGTGCATTATATGCATATTTTTCTTTCTGTCTCGCATGTCTGGGCCAACCGAAAGTTGTAAATTTGCAATTTAAAAGTCGCTCTAGCGATCATCTTCCTGTGCGCACGTTTATCACCTATCAGTTTCTTGACGCGATGGTGTAAAAATGCAACAAGTCGTCGTTTCGGTCGAGGCTTTTAAAAGTATAATACTCCAAACGATGAATAATGAAAATCATTGACGCTCGCGGGAAATTAGTTTTTTTGTCGGCTAATTTACGAGTACGTGAATGGGTAATAAGCCAAAAGCGAATGTTAATCAATCAACCAAAAACATAAATTACACTTTTTTTCTTCTTCTTTTCAAGTATTTTGTACAAAAAAAATTAATATAATAATTATAAAAAAAGCAATTTTTCATAATGCGGGAGAGCACCGGTTCGATAGATAACAGTTTCAAACTATACTAACGATTGTATCGATTCAGTTTCGATATTATAAAGTATGCAAAACATATTTACATAATCTCGTTTCCGATTCATCAATCGGCTTCGTACGTTGAATTTTTTCAACACTCGAACGCCTCGCAGAATTTTCTGTCGATTTCCTCCAGATCGTAATCGCACTCGTGACTGTCGTCCAGCGACGAATCGTCGTCGTGATCCTCGTCGTCGTCGTAATCGATGTCGTCGAAATCGTTTCGGTGATACTCCCTACAAGAGGGCACTTTGCCCATAAAGATATTTATAGCTGTGGGATGTTTCTCGTAAATGTGATGATCTATCTCTACGGCCAACCTTGCGTCCTGGCACCGGATTATGACGAAGGGCTCGTCGTCGGTCTGGTACGGCGTCAGAGGAAGGTCGAAGGGTAATTTGAAAATCGGCGCTTCCGTGAACGCCGATTCCGTTACCGGGAAAGTGGAGCGTTGAATCTGATAAAAAGTACAAATCATTATGTTAAAAGAAAAAAAAACAAGTTATTTGAATAATAAATCATGATGATGAACTGCAAATACCATAATTTGTGGTATGAAAAGAACTCCAGCTTCGTAGTTAGCTAAATATTGAATTGTATCCTTTCTTAACATTTTACCCCATGCACCTTTACTGAGATTAGCACTGGTTGACAAAAAATACAATACTTCAGACTCATCCGGCGAAAGCCTTGTATAACATTTTATGTGCGGCATTGCTTTTGTTCTATTTGTAGAATCTGATTTCCAATCGCTGTATTATGAATAGAATTTTAAAAATTATGTTCTTTTTATAAATTAGTTTTTAATAATTATTTTTTTGTACCATAAGTAGTCTTTAATCCATTTTTGATTCATGTGGGAATCTTTATTGTACATTAGGCAAGTAACTCCAAGTTTAGAATCAAAACTGTTATTATAACTTCTTTGCGTTGGATAAATGAATTTAAAAGGTGGGGTTCTGGGTAAATTCAGTTTTCCTTGTGACATAGGTTGGACTATGTGCGATTTTAACCACCTTTGATAATACGATCCATAAACTCCAACAGCTGAGCTCTGAGCAATCGCAGTCCAATCTTTTGAGTTTTCTGGTAAAATCACATGCTCTGATAATATCTTCTTCAACTTCAAATGACCCCACAAATTTAAATTTGGTCCTTCATGATATCCAGGCACAGATCCAATGAAAAATACATTTACAGCTGAAAAATCAATTCTATACAACAAAGAAATCCACCCAAATACTTGTGGTTCAGAGTAACAGCTAAGATATTGAATAATATCATGTTTAAAATTTGTTGTGGATTCTCCTTCTGAATCTTCAGCAGATGCAGGAAGATAAGGCAACCGTGGTGATATCCATAAACTAAAAGACATGACTTATGATTATTACTCTACCAAGAAATTAATACAACAAAGTATTTTCAATTTCTTACCCTTGAGTTCTGCCATGCCAATCCTGAGCATATAAATTGGCTGATGAAATAATAATTCTCACGCTGTTATCATCATATTTTAAAATTGATATTTTTGAGTGATGACAACCAAACTCAGGCATTTTACATTGTTGCAATTCAACATCAAAAGGAATATCATACATAAATTTTGCATCTACTAATGTGCCATAGAGAATAGTCATTTTTGGATCTTGACAAGCAAGCATATATTCATTCAAGATCCATGATATTTCAACCATGAAGTTAATGTGAAAACTCTCTACTATGATACCTTCAGTGTAATCAATTATTTCATGAAAGTGAACTGATAAAGGTTGTTGGTGTGTTTTTTTAGATGGGTCCACAGTACTAAGAAAGTAATGGTAAGGAGCAGATTCTTGAAACTTTTTTGAGAAAGTTCCATGTTCACTAATGTGTACTGGATCATCACGAAAAGTTTTTGCAATAGCTATTGATACATCTCTCATTTCGTCTCTATCTTCTGGATTACTACCACACATTATATACATTTTCATCCAAGTATAAACTGATAGTGTCATTTCATTAGAAAAACAAGAATGAGGATCTAATGCATCTGTAATTGGTTCTCCCTTAACTCGTTTTACTTTAATGTCTTCAAGTCCTATTTGATACATTTTGACAACTGAAAAGTTTATTTGACCTAATATTGTTACACAAATACAATGATATTTTAATCTTTGTAATAATTACTTTTAAACAAAGAATTAAACACAAGATCTAAAAAAATATATAATAAGTTCAAAATTATAAGGATGATTCAAGTTATTTCCTTTTCATAAAGTAAATTGAAATTAAGATTTTTAGTGTTGTGCTTGTGCAAAATATTTAGGTTAGACAAGTTTTTAAATTCGCGAAGAAATTAGCAGACAGTTTCGCAGGCGCCAAATTTCAAACAGGATTTCATCACGCAACTCGTGACTCGTCTCAAAAGCAAAATTGAATGCATAAAATCTTTAAAAAATTTTTTATTCATGATTCAAAAATATAAATATCAGTTCTTCCATTAAGTATTGAATACTTGTATAACTATTTAAAAATATAGATCACACTTCATGATTCGTGGCATTTTTACAATATGACAACAAAATGATACAATAATAATCCAAAAATAAAAACTTAACAAACATAAACGTGTAATGCACATTTTATTTACACGAATTTTATCCAAAAAATAATCAGAAATTTCAATGAGCAAAAGGCTCATCAGAATCTTTATACTTTTGAAGAGGCAAATCATAAGGCAGTCTCAAAATAGAACAATTTTCAGAAGTTTGTTTGAGAGGAAAAGTCGATTCATTGATCTGTAAATAAAAGCAAAAAATTGTTTGTAGTGCTAAATACATAAACTTATGTTCGTGGTTTTTATATATTTAATAACATACCACAAACTGAGGTAAAAATACTACTCCAGCTTCATAATTCATAATGTACTGAGAACGCGTTTTTTTGGCTGCAGAGCCCCAAGCTGCCTTACTTAAATTTGCGCTTGTAAGTATGAACCATGCAGCTTTTGATTGATCGGGTGATATTCTTACATAAGTTTTACTGTGAGGTATTGCTTTAGTACGACCTATTTCATCTGATTTCCATACACTGAAAAAAAATCAATTTCACGTGAAACTATTTCAACTATTATCGAAAAATGTATACATTTAAAAAAGTGAATTCAAGTTGGTATCTTACTATAAATATCTGTTCAACCATTGTTGTTTTAAATGTACTGTTTCAGAGTAAGGTAAACAACATGATCCATCGGCACAATCAAAACTTGATGCATAATTCCTTGATGATGGGTATACAAATTGGAAGCTAGGATTTCTATTAATTCTAGAACTTTTTCCTTTTGCCATGGAAGAAATAAGGTCTGTGCTTAGCCAACCATCAATACTTGATCCTAAACTTCCAATGCTAGATGCTTGAGCAATTATTCCCCAATCTGATGCATCAGGAGGCAGTATTAAATGATCTGAAAAAATACTTGAAATTTGTTGGAGGCCCCAAGAATTGAAATTATCATCTTTATGACTGCCTGGTACAGAAGCAACAAAAAAGACATTAACTGAAGAAAAATCTGCTCTCTTTATAATGCTAATCCATTCATTAAGATCTGTATGTTTGTAAGAAGCTAGATATTTTTGAAAGCTTTTTTTAAACTTTGTTGGTGATTCTCCCTCTTCTGAACTAGTTTCATCAGGTAATTTTGGTAAGTGTGGTGATACCCATACTCTGTAAAAAAAAAATATTACATTTTTCATTGTTTTATTTATGGTATTAGAAAAATTATTATTATAAATTGTTGTAAATACCCTTGAGTTCTGTTTTTCCAATCATCGCTATAAATATTAGCAGTTGACACAATTACACGAATTCCACCATCAACATACTTAAGCACGGATATTTTTGTATGATGACTACTATAAGCTGTAGGCACTGGAACTTTGAAAGCTTTAATATTTGCTGGTAAATGAGATTGAGGATCTACTATTTCATGATAAAATATTGTCATATTGGCAGGTTGTGCAGCAAGCAAATATTGTAAACACAGCCATCCAATTTCAACCATAAAATTGATATGAAGGCTTTTGACAATTTCACCCAATCCTATATCCAACAATTCTGGAAAACTTACTGTGAACTGCTGATCATGCGTAACTTTAGAATCTTCTACTTTATTAAAAAAATAGTGGTATGGAGCTGACAATGCAAATTTTATAGCAAAATCTCCAGGCTCTGTCAATTTTAATTTTATTCCAGATGATGCCATTCTTGCCAAAGTTCTATCCCTTAATTTGAATCTTACTTCTCTTTTATCTGCAGCAGCAAAACTATCGATCACAAGATTTTCAGATTTATCTTTTGATTCTCTTGATTCTGCTTGACTGGATTTTGATGTGGTTGGAAGACTTGGATCACTCTCAACTTTCAATTTTTTATAAGACTCATTTTCTTGTTGTTTTGATTTTCTTTTTTCTATTGCTGATTGTCTACTCTTTTCTATTTTTGTTTTCATGTCTTCTGATTCCATTCCTTTTTTAGGAGAAGTACTATATTTACTACTGACTGTTGCTTTATCAACACTGGTCTCTCCTGCTACTTTATGAACTTTACCTCTACCTTCTTTTCTCATGACAATTTGCAAAACTTTGAGTTGTTCTAATAGTGCTGATCTATCTGGACATTCAAAACCCAATTGACTAGGTAAAATAATATCACCGTATAATTGATCTTCGATCAATCTTTCCACTGTAAAATAAATCTTATATTATTAAAAGACCATGAAAATTATCAATGTTGTAATTTATTTATATCTCAAACTTACAATGCAAATGAGACATTTCGCTGAAATGAATTGGATTCTTTCGATAGCATTTTTCCTTAAAAGGACACACAGTTTTTTCTGCAAAAAATCAATTTGAAAGTTGCATTCCTTTCATGACATACTTTTCAAAACAAATATAATAATAATAATAAACTAACCTTTCATTGAAGTATTTTGTTGATACGCCATTTTGTAGAATAAAAAGGATTACTATGACACAAACGCGCGAAACAATTTATTTTCAATTCTAAAAAGCTACTCCTAATCTTTCAAGTTGATAAAGTTCATATCATTCAATCAACTGTCAAAGTTTTGCGTGACGGCATGGCAGTGCAGGCAGCCAGGCAACAGCGTTGCCTGTTAGCAGGAGCTGCCGCTGCAGCCGAAAACGGTTTTCGCGAAAAAGGCGCGCTCTCACATACCGACCGAACGCAAATAGTTTTGCTGCCGAGTGTCGACTTCTCGTTGATCGAGGTTCGTTAGTATAGAGGAGTAGGCGGAGAGGGAGGGGGGTGCATATTCGCAGTTTGTGGCGGGATGACTGTACGAGGACGGAGTATGTACGTTGCAACGGTCAGAGATCTTCGAATACGAAAGTCCATCGAACTGTCGTAAACGTTTGTCGCGAGTGAATCGAAGAAACTTTTATCGCAGTGAAATGAAGTAATGTGTAAACCTTTACTAATTTAATAAAAAGTTATTAATGAAACGATCTTTTTACAATACCAGAAGAAAATTGTGAGTTAACAAAAAGTGAAAACGCGTAAACAGAACGAATAAGGCGCCAACCCTCTTTTACATGTAGACGGCAGATTGAGGGGTCGCAAATTCCCTCTTTTTTTTTCTTTTCAACAATGAAACGATTGGCATCCGTACGAAAGTGTAACGCTGACTTCGCCGGGCGTTATATTAAAAGCTTGCTCCGAGTTCGAAATATAGCACGAGCGACATGGACACAATTTTTTCGAGATAGATTTGTACAGGGATTTAGTTTCAAATGGCATATGGCTTAGAGATGTACAGATATCCGCTGCTGTCCGCGTACGTATCGAAATCAATATCAATTCTTCCGTTCGAAATATCGCGTTCGTACCTCGTATGTGTTTTTTTTCTCCTTTTTTTTCTCCATGAATGTAATACAAATATTAACTTTCGTCGATCTCTTGAATCGAAGAAAACAACGCGAAAAAATTGGTCCAATATTACGTTTCGTTAGTTTACGTCTGTATACATACACTGCCTCCAATGTAATCGCGTCAATGATATACGTAAACTTTCCGAGAAAACAGAAAGAAAAATCATCCCCCGTGATTTCATCTTATACATGCCCTTGAGAGACGTAGAAACTGCTGTTTCGTATAGCTGGAAAAAGTTAAGCGCGCCAAAAAGATCCTAATCGAATCTTTCTCCTTTTCTTTATTTCCATTATATTTTTTTCTCCTCTCTTTGCACTCCAACCAAGGGAATACAAAGCTATCTATTTTTTCTTTTGGAGATTTTTTCGATAAACGAAAGTATAGTCCCCGTTTGTACGTATAGCCGAAACGATACGAGAATAAGCATGGGTGGAGCTTTCGAAAATTCGAAATAATTTTAAATAACCGTGGAAAGTTGGTCTTTTTTTCGTAATTATTTTTCAAATCGAAGCTCGGGATCGTTGGCTGATAAGTTTATCTATCGAAAAAAATAGTTTCAATTAGAAAATATCGATTTATCTCGAAATATTCAAACCCTTATCTATATGCAAGACATAATGTAAACAAACCACGCATATCTCATCGATCGGTATATAAAACACAGCTATAGTGAAAAAAATAATTAATTTCGCATTACCGCGTGTGCACCGGAAGGACAGACACACGATCCGTTTATTTGCACGCATATATTGCACAACGACAACTCGAAACCCTTTTCGATCGCCGATGACGCGTACACTTTCGTCTTCGTTATTCCTCGAAGAATATTAGCTATAGTTTTCTTCGATAGATAGAAGAAAAAAATGAAATAAAGTAGTGTCATCGCCGGTTGACGTAGGCCTCTCACATTCATATGCGTAATCATCCCTCCCTATTGTATTATTGCTTATAAGATAGAATATACAGTCGCGCACTTTGCGCTGGCGCCGAGCGCTCGTGTACGTATATATACCCTGTACAGCGGCAGCGGCACATAAGTGAGTCGAGTGTCGAGGGTGGGAGTGGTAGCATCGCCCGCGAAAAGCAGTAGCTACCTACTACCCACCTCTATATAGGCAGGCAGTCCGCAGCTATACAGCTACAGCATAGAATCGCAAACGCCGACGCCTCAGTTGCCACCCAGACATCGCGCCGTGAACTCTGTTCTCTCTGTCCGCTTTTGTTTTTCCTTATCGCTCGGCTCGCGCTTCGGCCAATCTCTCTCGCGTGTACACATGCACTTGGTCGTATAGAAAAGCACATGCTCTCGCGGATCGCGCGGTAGCAGCAGCAGCGGCAGCATAGGAGTATAAGAGAGCTTTCGCGCACACACGTGCTCCGAACAAAAGCTTGCAAGTAAAATAAAGTGATACCGTTACTGTGCATGGATTGATTTTACGTCGAAGAAAAAAATTGAATTATAATAAAGTACGAATTGCGAAACACGAGCACGAGATGAGGCTTTGAATTTTGGCGCGAGACCGTCGCGCGCGCAGATTCGAAAATTTTTCGGTGCGGGCGGACGCGCGGAACTTGGCACACGCACACGAGGTGCTTTGCAATTTTTTTTTTTTCATTTTCGAATGACTTGCGCGCATCGACGATGACACTCAAAAATCACGAAGATCTCGCGGTCAACGATCGTCCACCATGCACCCACAACGACGAGCTTAATTCGTTGGGCTGACCAGTAATTATATAAACATAGGTCCATACATATTTTATTTATATCTATGTGGAAAAGAGAGAAATAGCGATACACATCGTAGTAAGTTAATTGTTGTACACACTAAACTACGCGCGCGCGTCGTGCGGGATAGCGAATCTGGAGCTGCGAGAGAGAAGAGACACACTGCGGGAAAGGGGCGCCCAATCAAGTTTTGATTGCTTCGTTTTAAGTTCTGATTGGATCGGCCCCGAATTTCAGCGGTGCGATACATACGGACACCCACACACACACACACACCTACACCCACTCTAACACTCGATGCGAGAAACCTAGAGAGACAGAGAGATCCGTTCTCTCTTCTCTCTGGGTTATACATGTAAAATGGGTATATTCGTCGTATTGTGCGCTCGTGAGACTAGTAGTAAGCTCGAGCCAACGAGCGAAACTTCTCTATCTACCAGTAATACCCGTGCGCGCACTATACCCGTTAAGTGTCAAAGGGGGTAGCCGCTGCGATTCTCTCAATTCTCGGGCGCGCGTTCGCATACGTGTAAACTTTTTTTTTCCCCGTTTTTCATGATTTGTCATTAGCGCGAACCTAGACGCACGTAACAATGATAAAAAAGAATAATTCATAACTATACTCATTTTTTTGTTTTGTTTTCGTTCGTAAATAAAGTTTCAAGCTGTTGTGCGGAGCTGTCGTATACATTGAAGTCGGTGCGCATAAGATTTTTCGCGTCGTGCAAAATTTTCTCTCAGTGTGCCCCGCGCGCCCGCGCGAAAAGTATACATATCACGCGCTCGACGCGTTTTGTGTGCTCTCTGTGTATAACTTTTTAATGAGAGTTTGCATTATAGCTCTGCGGTTGGAAACTCTTACTATATCATATACCAGTCGAAGTGATATATAGTTGCATCGTTGCTAGTATTTTTTTTTTTTTCGTTATAAGAAGAGTGCATTGTGTTGTTGCTTGCGCGAGGAGTCCAATTTTTGCAAATATTTCATTATCATTGTTTTTTGAATTATTTTTTTGGTCCACGGAAGCTTGCGAGCTCTCATAACGAGCAATATCGTTAAAAAGTGCTTCTTACCTTTGCGCAGATACATACGAGCAGTGAAAAATCGAATCGTTCTTGGTGTATACAAAAGTGAAAGAAATAACAGCAGCAGCAGCAAAGAGTTTGACTCGAGTTGAAAGAAAAGAAGAAAAAGAAGAAAAAAGTTTTTTTTGTGTGCTCTTGGTCGCACGGGCCGAGAGAGGAGAAGAAGAAGATACACACAGCAAGTGAGGGAGAGAGTTATACCTGCCAGAGGCCTAGACTGCACGCACAGGTATAACACCAGAAAGTGGAAAGAAGACGACCGGAAACTGCTGAACAGGACAGGTCCTTCCTCTGGAGGCACTCAGAAGGCACTCAAGATCCATTGCTGCGAGAAGATGCCGGCAAAACAAGGTCAGGGCAATAACTCCGTATACATATAAGACTTTTCGCGCTTTCGTATATCGTATTAGACTTTTGCGTTCCAGTTCTTTTTCGCTCCCATCATTTATATTTACCGTCCCTTTCGCGCACTGCTGTTTGTGACAAATGAGAAAACTTTGCCCCGCGTCCAAGGCCCGCATCAGCTTCAACCCTTCGTCTTGCGTTTATACGTAACTCGAGTATACGAAAATTTCGGAGCTCGCGTTACTACCACACGTTTGCGCGTGGAGGCTCGAGCGACTTCCGATTATCAGCTGCCTCGTTGTATACACAGGCTTTCTTACGTTAGATTATAATAGCTATCGGCGTTCAGATTAGAAGCTTTTGATGTTATCAGTGCCAGCTGCAGATTTCATTGCCTTCGTGCCCAGCGCATACGCGTGTGTATAAATGCGAATAATCCGGAGCACGTATTAATTGGTGCCCACCACTCTCGGGAGCTCTCGGGTATCCGTTGTACTTTTCGCCGTGTATTATTCATCGTGGTCGATTTAACATCCAAGTTTTCCATGTATAAACACATCGAAAATCGTACGCTGGCTAATTTTTCAATGTTTATACGTAGGCTATGACGCCGACTATTATATTCGCGATTCGGATGAGAGATCTAAAATCAACGTATTAATAGAATTTTCAGCTAGCACGCGCGCGAGCTACTCGACGCTTCTCGCTCGAAATTAAGTATATCGATTCGGGCAGGGATTATTCTCTAAAATACTTTTTTTTTAGTATATCAACGCGAGAAAGAAAGAGAGAGAGAGAGGAAGAACCGCTCGCAAGCTCGTGCATGCTTAAACACGTTTTGCTACTTTTGAAAGTTTTATTCGTTTTTGAGCGCGCGCTCGCTTGTATTTATTTCCCTCGCGAGTTTGTGTGTACTCGAGCCCACCCGCACACTAGTTGACGCGCGTCTTCTTCTTCTTCTTTCTGCTCGCGATATTAAGATGAAGAATATAAAATTATATGCTCGTGATTTCGTCAAGCTGCCACGCGCGCGCAAACATTACGCTGGTGTTATTTCGTGATGATGAAGAAGAAAGAATGTGATTCGAAATGACGAATGTTGTTGTCGACGTTGTTTAGCGTGCTTTGCATTTGCTCTAAAACGCGTATGAGCTTATTCGAAGCGTCGTGAAAAAGAAGAAAAAAATATATAAACAAGTTTATTATATCGATGCCTCGCAGATCTCTTAGCTCAGCGCCTTGGAGCGGAGAGCACGACAATTTGTCATGAATACACGTACAGTAAAAACGCTCGACAAATAGACTAGGTTGTTTACGAAAGCTCCGCGCTCGGGAGGCAGGGGGGCGCGCGGGAGAGGTCGGTACATAAAGTTCACTTGTCCGAAGAGATATAGTTGTCCGCGTCGTTGTTTTCGTTGTTATGTCGTTGTTACTGCTGCTGCGGGAGACACGAAACGCCGTCGTGCATTATAGTCTCGAAGGAGATGGCCAATTGCTTTAACTCACTCGTGCGAGCTTGCACGTGCGTGGGCGACCGTGCACCGTTTAAGCTGGACTCCGGGCATTCTTACCTCACGGGTTGTACAAATGTTTGTTTTTATAAAAAAAACAAAAAAGAACTAATCATATTGCAAATTTTATGATAAAAAATTATTCACTTACAATTATGTTAGAAATATCAAGCGGATTTTAAATGTCCTGTAAACGACAAATTAACTCTTTTAAAAAGTCCAAACTCATTCCCAACAACTTCGATGATACCACTTGAAGATTTCACCACTAGATGGCGAGTACCTAAAAATTTGTAAATCTGCAAGTGGCAAAGAGAAAGTAATTGTATAAGTTGGAGTATAGTTTAAGAATGAAATATGAATGGTTGTCTGACTGTCAGGTTAGCCCTAAATTTATTTACGTATCTCTAAGTATCCAATATTCGAAAAGCAAATTGATTCGTCTCAATATTATCAATCCGATTAGCATTTAATTGCAAGCTCTGCTGTGCGGACCGTGCAAAAAACTCAAACTCGACAATTAATTTTCCGTTCATTTCGATAATAAGAAATCCTGACGTTGTATATAGTAAAGTAGTGTAGTATACGTAAATATATAAATCTCGCTCTCACTCTCTCTTTTTTCTCGTTTTGTGAAAAAGCAAAAAAAGAAAAAAGAAAATATCACCGCAGATTCAGCCTTAATTTGCGACCTCTTGATTGCATGCCAGCTGACCCTTTTTTTTCCTTCATCTTCGCGCGCGCATTCGTAAAAAAGCGCCCACCCCGCGCTCGCTCGCGTGCGCACACACACACACTTGCACAATGACACTCGAAAAAGAAAGGCAAATAATTAAAATTCCTTTCCCAGGAATACGTAGAGTTTTCCAGGGTCTTTTTCTCGCGCGCACTTTAAACTCACCTCGTGGCGGAGTTCTTTCTCAAGTATACTTTGCACCCTTCTGTCTCGCTTCAATCCAAGTACATGATATATCTTATACTAAATATGCAGTAAATACTTATTACGGCCAAGAGAAATTACCGCGAACAAAAGATTTCGAGCTTTCAGTCTGGCAGTCTGTATCTTTCTCATCTTCGTGTAAAACATACCATTGCTGCTTGTGCTGCTGGTGTTACTGTGCGCTCGCGTTTAAAAATTGCTTTTCCGGCACAGTATTTAGCGCTGCAGCTCGTGCCCGGCCAAAGGATTTTTACGCGGATTAGCAGAGAGATCTCGCGCTGGCATGGTTGGAAAACCGTGAAAATTTTGCAGCTTGTATCTTTAATTAACTTCCACGAATCCCCGTTCGGTGAAATTCTGTGTGTGTATGTGTGTGTGTGTGTGTGTGTGCTACGGGGGTACTCCACGGTTAATTGGTGAAAATTAGATGCGGCACGTGGGAGAGAATATTTCCGGCGTATAATTCTCGCGAGTTTTTTCCGCGTCTCACTGCGCACATACAATACATGATGTGTGATGACCACACCGTTAGAAATAAAATCTTAGATTTAATGCAGTTTTCATCTAAAATCAAGCCTTATTTTGAACAATTTATAAAAATTCAATCATATAATTAAGTCCATTTTCCGCCCGTAGATGGCGATTACATTTTTATCTGTAAATCTGCAAGGGACAGAGTGAAAGTAATTTTATAAATTTATTATATCTCTGGTGATTTGTTCATTGATGTGGTTGGTTCAGCGCTAATTTTGATGGTTAAAATTCAAAATTAATTTACTGAGTTTTTTTATTGACATGTAAGAATTGGTGATATTCTATAGAAACTTTTTCACATTTCTAGCATTTAATGAAATTCAATCATATTCAAAGTCTCAGTCTTCGCCGTCAGATGGCGAGTACCTTTTTCTATAAATCTGCAAGTGGTAAAGTAAAAATAATTAAATAAAGCCAGCACGGTTTATACATAACGAAGTGAATTTGCTTAATGCCATATTGACTAAATTTCATTCACATTCTTTTGTCGTTGCTGAGCCTCGCTGTAAAATTCCAAAATCCAATTTATCATTTTCTTCCCCCGCAACGCACGTACGATAAAGCTGCCTTCGCCAGGCATGTTTCGCGGAAATTAATTTTCCGCTATTTTTCGGAAATTGATACTCGCTGGTGAAAAAAACCAGCTCGCTATGAAGCGCAGCGTACGCGCGCGCGCGCACACACGATAGTAAATCCACCGATCGGCTATTACGGGCGAGCAGTTTTATTAATAAAACAATGTGTGAATCATTGCCCGAGCGAGCAAGGCCATCCACAGCGCGCGAGCTTTGGGCCATTCCGTGTTTACAGCCGCGACTTGTAACGTGCACGTGTGCGCGCCCGCGACCGCCGACGTTGTATACAGATCTAAGAACGGCCAAAGGTAAATCTAAACATTTTAACTGCCCCGAGCTAGCTGTAGCTAGCTGCGAAAGCTGCAACGCGATGTAACGCGAGAGGCATGGCTGAGCTCGCCACTGCACTGCCCCGCTCCGTCGATTTATGTACAAGCGAAAACGCCGAAAAACCTCATACGCCAGCCGCAAAAATTCTCCATGGCTAGGTATCGTCGTGTGTGCGTGTGCGAGCCACATTTAGCCGATATAACTCATAGCTCGCCATTGTTTTGCATTCGAATAATCGATAAATTAATAGCGGCCGGAGCTATTAAATGCAAAGTTACTCAATAAATATTATCATTCGAATGTATATTTCCTCGATATAAAAGAAAAAATCCGTAACCAACAAGCGTGCTCGGCTTCTTGATTTCTTATATATATATTAGGGCGGAACGAAAAAACACTTTTGACGCCGATCGCTTTGTAATAGTATTTTATCGAAAGTTTAAGATAAAAAAAGAGAAAAGCCGCGAGCTGGGCGCGAACAAATGATGTCTTCAGGTGGCGCATGAAGCCTGAAGTTTGAAATTCGTAAAAACAATATCTTTATGCTTCAGTATGAAATCGTTACCAAATTTTTCTGCACTGGATTGGCCGATTGGGCTGAAAGTTTCAGGGCTTGTTTTACATGTTGAAAGGAGTTTCTCTGTAAAATTTTAGCCCTCTAGGTGCCTTAGAAGCAAAGATATAGTCATAGGAAGGTTGAAAAATTACGTTACATTAATTTTTTTTTGTTCTTTTTCCATCTTCACACAGCTGTACGTTGCGTAATTTTGCTGCTATTAAAACGAACGAGTAACCAATTTCTTCGTCTTTTAAAGGCCTTTTCAACCATATAAATTTGTATAGTGTTTTTTAAATTTTTACTGAAGTTACAGTATAAAACGTCCAACATTTTGTGTCGCGCTCGAAACTACAATTGTTATTTTTTTTTCTGTTTCTTAAAAGTTACACATTCTAGACAAACTTGAACCCCAATGATAGTTATATGGCCTTAAAGAGCATAAAATTTCCTTTAATTTGGTGTATTTAAAAACTCTCTAGGTCCTCTAGAACCAAAGATACAGCTGTTTGAAGTTTTACCAAAAATGAAAGTACTGAATCTGTGAATCTATCATAGGC